TTTCCCTGTGTTTTACCCTTTTTTTCCACACCAGCGCCCTCTTTTATATTCGTTTGCATAACTTCCTTCCCCCCCCCCCCCCCCCCACAACCCCCCCCCCCCCCCCCCCCCCCTTCTAAAAAGAACCAAGGAAAGAAAGAAAAAAAACAGACATACCGCTCAACAACTTAAAATCATACGCAAACGCGCCCTTCCCCTCACTAGCCAAATACGCACTAATCGTGCCCCCCAAGAACAAAATCAGCACCACAGTCGTCGCGATCCAAAACGGCCCGTACAGATCCGGATTCCCCTCCAGCACGTCGAGGAAGTTCGCGCGCGGGTACAGCGCCGCCCAGCACCGCGCCAGCACGCTCGACGTGTCCACGTCGAAGAACTGCGCGTAGAAGGACAGCGTCCACAGGTACCGCTTCGAGGACACGGGCCCGCCGCCGGAGCCGGAGCCGGCGGTCGCGGGGAGCGGGAGGCCCGGGGCGCTGCTGTTGAAGGGGGAGGAGGAGGAGGTGGTCGGGGCGCCTTTGCTGCTGCGCGCGTGATGGCTCTCGGAGAAGTTGGAGTTGTGGAATTCGAGGTCTTCTTGGAGGTCGGTGTGGCCTAGGTCGCCCTGGGGTGGTGGGTGGTGTTAGTATTGTGTACGCCTGGCTGATATAGTATGTATATAGCTAGTAGACTGGCAGACTGCGCGATGCGATGCCAATAAGCAAGCAAGCAAGCAAGCATTAAAGCCATGCCATACATATATAAGAGCTCCCCAGAGTAAGAGAGTAATTGGTTGGTTGCCAAGCATACCTCATCGTCAATATCTACGACGGCATCGTAGCCTGCGTTCGCCATCTTGATATCTTCTCTTATGTCCGCTCCAGATGCTAGAAGACAGCTTGTTGGGGTCGATATAGGGTGGAACGACCAAACCGCTTTGGTTATTGCGAGGACGATGACTTTAAGGTGAGTGAAGCTGCGGTGCTGTTTGAGGACACGGAAGCAACCGCCGATCTTTAGCCGCGTTTAATTTACAAAGGTGCAAGCTCTAGCGATGACGTTTCATTGGACAGAACCGTTCTTGACTAGCAGGGAAGTATATAAGTACCATCATGTACCTGCATGTATTGAATGTTTTATAAAACCTACCGTATAAGTCTTTATATTGAACACATAATTATATCTAGAGTTGCGCATATGATTTTCTTAATACCATTTACAACCTGTTACTAAGGTCTTCAAACATAGTTGTTACATAGCATCCTGGAAGATTGTCGTAAAAGAACATATAGAAAGATATATTTTGCAATGGCTTTAGTAACCCCACGATGTGTGGGCAAATCGCTTACAAGTTAAGAGGCAAGGCTTTAAACAGCAAAAACACCACACTACAGAACCATGTCATAAATTTACAACCTGAAAAGGAATATTTCCTATGCGGTAGATTGATCACCAAAACAAGTCACTGGTCTGCATGTGCGTTCGGATTACTCATGTGCATCGCAACTTGATTGCCACCGAAACTAGCCTACGCATAGCTATTTCCGCAGAAAAGAAATCCCATCGCAGTGGTGTCGATAATATCTATCCACCCGTCCGTAGCGTGCTCATGATAACACCCCAAACCAAAGACGCCGAAGAGATGGAACATGTTGTGACGAATTGTTTACTTGAGCTTCTTCTTGGGTCGAAGCTGGTTGGTGTGGCCGCACTTGCGCTTGCGGCAGTTGGTGGCACGGGGAGGGAGACGGGCCTATTTTTTGTATTAGTATAAGGAACTGATAGGTATTGGAGGATAATAAACTCGTAGACTGGAGGAACTCACGTAGCACTTGCGGCAGATCATCTTGTCGCAGTTGAACTTGGAGGCGAGGGCCTTGAGCGAGGGCTCAATGATACCACCACGTAGACGTAGGACCAAGTGGAGGGTAGACTCCTTCTGGATGTTGTAGTCGGAGAGGGTTCGGCCATCCTCAAGCTGCTTGCCGGCGAAGATCAGGCGCTGTTGGTCGGGGGGAATGCCCTCCTTGTCCTGGATCTTGGACTTGACATTGTCGATAGTGTCGGAAGACTCCACCTCGAGGGTGATAGTCTTGCCCGTCAGGGTCTTCACGAAGCTATTTTCTCGTCAGTTCGCATGTTCGGATTTATTTGGTCGGTCGATCGGGTCGGTAATATGTGGTGCGCGCATTGCATTTTAATCTGGAAATGAACTTACATCTGCACTATAGACGCATTTCAGTTAGTATGAGCTAATTCAAAACACCATAGAAGGGGGTGTTGACTTACTTTTTGCTGTCTGTCGTGAATGAAGATGTTGAGGGAGAATTCCAAGATGATGTCGGCCTGGGAAATTCGGTGGGGGTTTGAAATTCCACGGCAAACGAACCCTAGTGGATTGAAAGTCACCTGATTTTAATTCTTGAGGGAAGTGGCGTTGTGTGCCAGAAATTTATGTCAGCCGCCAGCTGGTGGATACTTGACCCCACCTTTAGCTCTGTTCGCGATTACAAAGTAACGCACTGTGCAACGAAGCTTCAATGTTAACATTTCACGGCTTATGTGAGGAATTATCAGGTCAACTGAGCAATATGATAAATGACTTATCAATGCGTTGGTTTTAATATAATTTTTACCTCATATGTAGCATTAGAAGCTATGCATAGAGTTAAATATTAAAATGCTTCTAGTCAGAGTCATCGCCAGTCCAAACCGCTTTGCCCTTCCCCTTGTTTCGTTCTTTAGCTCTCTGAATACACCAAACCTCCAACTGCCTTTCCACTTGCGTAACACCTCTAACCAGCGTATGTAACGGTATATACGAAAGATTCGCTGCCTTGCCATAGAAAACTTTAGCCGCGTCCGGGAGCTCTTCTGGTGTGCGCCAGACCGGACAGAAATCTTGAGACTGCTTCTTGTTTAAGTCTTCGGGATCAACGGGAACTGGCTTAAGTATTTTCATAGAGCTGTTCAAAGCTTCATATCTGCCTTTTATGTGTTCTCTCTCCCTATTTCCTAGTTGCTCGTTTAGACTGCTTGGTTGCGACAGTCGTTTTTGTCCTTGAAAAGGTTCTCGAACCCTTTCAGCCGCTAGAAAAGGGGTTAGTTAATATTGCCAACTCGATAATAAAATAGAATGGTGTCGCATACTTCTTGGTTCGCCATCTCCTATCCACATCTTCTCAAACCAGTCCATGAAGTCGTCCATCTTCCCCTTTTCCATGGTAAGGGCGTCCTCAGGGGTAACTTGATATTCTTCACCTCGTAATAATGTAGATGGTGATTCCGCCGTATCGTTTTGCATAATTTCCTGCCACTTTCCCCAGTCGACAGTCACACTTCGAGGATCGTGGTGGCTTCGGGGAAGTCGTTCAACGCCATCTAATGGATAAAGCAGTTTCGCTGACACGACAACCAGAGCGAGTAGTAGTACTTCTGGGTTGTCCATCGTCCGAATCTTTTTTCCTCCGATGGGATAAGAGTAATCCGTCTTTAAGATCTCCGTAATACATTTTACTACGAGGTATACTTCGACTAAGTAGGATTAGCTGAAAGACTTCTACTTACCATTTGTCTGCTTAAGCCTACCTGGAAGAGTCAACTCTGTTATGAGTCGCACAAGTATGGGCGGATAGTTTATCGGCGGGAAGATGGTGTCGAAGTTGACCTTAAACGATATCACCAGCTCTTGCACGGATGCCTGCAGTCGACCCGCTGGGATATGATCCCTAACTTGCAGAGCACGATGATACTCTGCGGGAAGACGGTCTCGGGCATTGCGTGGAATATTATTGAACTTGAGTAATTAGCTATATCAGCACTCCAGCATGATCTACAGATATATGTGAGAGCTGTTGGATAGGGATCATACCGCTGCAAGAAAATCCAACTCCCCCCTTTGCGCCCAGCCGCATAAATCTGCCGTCGTAGCTGGTAACCGTCGCACCAAGCACCCCAAGTAACACAGCGCCAAGGTATCGACGAGCTTCGGTAATTTCCATCGCCTACCGGCATTTGGGGCCCACGTAGCCGTCGTAGCATCCGAAAGATCGAAAGCCGACGACTCGGCTCCCGTCCCTTCGCTCTGGGAGCTGAACAACGGCACGCTCGACGCGTATCCGTCCGACTCTTCACTAACGTCTCCTTTCCTCTTACGGGTTCCCCCTCCGCTCTCCATCAACGGTAGGTTTCGTACCCTCAGCGCCCAGAGTGCCCTCACGATCTCCTCGAAGTCCTCGGGGAAGCCCTTCTCCCGGACGAGCCACCAGACCTGCCTCATCAGTATAAGCTGTAGGACTTCGAGGTATAGTTCTCTTCCCTCGTCGCCGGCGAGTTTAACAGCAATCTTTTTCTTAGGCTCCTTTTTCTTCCGCGAGACTTTTCCCTGGGTGCCAAAGGCGTCCTCGTCGCCCTCGTGTTCCGCAAACCCTTCGAGACGGTGCCCGTTTCGGCAATACCGAATCGCATCTTGCGCATACCATTGCCGTGCGCCGCATTCGTCGCAACGTTCGCCGCCGCGGAAGCGATGATACTTGGTGGGTGCCATCCCGATGTGTTGATTCCCTGCTATCTGCTGAAAAGAAGGTGGAAGGCGAAAAAGCAATAGTGGGGTGCTTAAGAGAAATAATATTTATTTTGATATAAGATTTATAGTGATAATGGCAACCAATATTTTTTGAAAAGTGCCCGAGGCAGTCATTACCGATTATCTAACAGCACGTCTACATACTTATTTCTTATAGAGAAAATACCTATATTTATCTTTCTAGTAGTACCTATTTTCCAAGTTACAATATCTACCTCTGTTTACATTTTAGTAGGCACATCACATTCAACTTATATATCATTCTAAGCATTATATGGTAGTCAACAAATCCATTTCCTCGTTAGCCCCTGAAATTGTCCGAGGGTGTTTAGGTTCACTATTTCACACCTTGTCATAGATTTTACGTAGTTAGATAAACCTAGCTGTACGTCTAGTGCGGCGGAGGTTCGATACTCATCCCATTTCAGATGGCATTCAGATCGTGGAATGTTAATACCGACCAACCCTATATGCAAATACAGAATCGCATCAAAGTAAAATTCATATAGGAGTAAATTGGAATTATATAGCTCCCAAGTCACATAAATATGATTGTTGATTATCACCAAATACAAAAATAAAGGGAGATCTCGTAGATTCTGTAGGACAAGTCAAGTGCTAATAAAAACAGGAGACCTGTTTTGCTGAAATCCTCAAAATGCACATCATTTTTTTTCCTCAAAGAGATGGGGATAGATGCGAAATTCGAGGACTATCGTACCATATGTTTGATTCCTCCACAGTGGATAGCACATTTGTACGCAAAACCCCGCGGGCCAGCGTCCAATACGAACCTAGCTACTAGTTTGCTAGTTAAACAACCCTCCCTTCTGGCGATGTCCAAGTTGGTCGAGGTCCATAAGTAACACTCGATCCAGTGACATCCTCTACCTGAGTCCTAAGTCCCCTAACTGGAGATTTAGTCCTTCTGGGCAGGCTCGTCGGCCTTGATGGCGGCCTCTTCGCCCATGGCGGACTGAATGGTAATGACTAAACGGGGTTAGTTATTTTGCGACCAACCTGAGGAGCAACTTATAACTTACTGAGAGGGGTTCCGTTCTCATCGGCAGCCTCGATCTTGTTACCAATCTCACCCTCGGGGACCTTGATGTCGCTTCGCTCCTCGCTGGTGTTGATGTCGTGGAGAACAATGAAGCCATCCTCAACGTGGGACTAATGATAGTTGTTGGTTAGCGTAATCTGGCCCCCAAATTGTATTCCGCAGAAAATTTGTCTACTCACGAAGTTGTACTGCTTGATCTTGACAACGGGGACCTCCATGTTGTGGGTGGAAGGGCAAAGTTCTTCAAGCTTCTTGCCGGTGAAGATGTCGATACCGACGAGATGGACCTTGGCGTGACCGTGCTTTCCGGTCTTGGAGGTGGACATGTCTACGATCTTGCAGGGGCGGCCCTTGATGACGACGGCACCGTTCTTGCGCAGAGCAGAACACTGCATGGGGAAAGTGGCAGACGCACCGGCATCGCCCTGGTTGTCGATCTCGAACTGTAAGAAATCTTGTTAGCACTACGCCATGATCCGGTACTTTACAATCGCGGTCGCGAACGGTAGCTAGATAAAATCCTATGTGTGCAACAACGATGGCCGCATCTAGCATCGCGGGGTTCATTGGCGATGCGTGCCAGATGCTTTAATGCGTGGTGATGCGGATGCGGGGTGGTTAGGTACCAGCCCGCCATTGCCCGCCTTTGCGATCGCCAAAAAAAAAAAAAAGAGGGACAGGGTGCTTCTTAAACATACCTCGTCCGCCATTTTGAAGGATTGACCGAAGTGAAGGTGTTGTTAGAGTAGAAGAGAAAGGGAAGATGCACAAATGGCCCAGCTAAATGTCCAAGACTGAAATATGAGTTGGTGGACTTTTTTTTTTGTAGAGGGGGAGGTTTGGAAGGTGTGAAAGATGTAGAGGGAGGGGGTTGAAAAAAAGTAGAGTGGAAGAAACCGTCAAGGGCAAAAGACGGGATTTTTTCTTCTTTCTCAGAATCAATTGGACACACAGTTTGCGCGGTATCTGATTGGCTTGTTAGGTCGGTGTTTGGGAATCAGCTCCACTAATCCAAGCAGCTCCAGCAGCTTTCATATATTTTTTTCCCTTCGAGCACTTCAGCGGGGAGGGTTTTGTGGGCTTTCAGGCAGCCTAGGCCAGTCTAGGCGGCTAGGTTCGCACAAACCGATCACTAATTTTGTCTACTCACAGGGCACCACCAGCCTGACCACAGTGCTCCTCCTCAAAACTTTAGTGGGAGTTTAAAGTTTTTTTTTTTTCTTTTTTTGGTGAATGCCCCTGTCTCGCAACTGCAAATCAACTGCAAATAGGTACTTGTTTGGAGGGGCAAAAAGTAGGTACCTTTCAGTTACATGATATACATCATAGCTAACACGCAAACATTGGAATTTTCCCTGTGTCAATACCCCGTGCAAGGCGCCGGCGCACCTTTACGAGGAAGCAAGAATCATTTCCGTTTTTGTAAACTTTAGGTATGATCGCTACTAATACTTTTTGGTAGTTTATCACTTTGGAGTACCGATACTTACTTAGGTAGGTACCTACGCATCTGACTTAGCGACTTAGCTCGCGCGGGGGAGATATGTACGCACTGTAAGTATATAATCTGTATGCTTTCTGTTCCTTGGCACTGATCATGGGTCCTCTATAAAAATTGACCCACTTTTGAATCTTATCAAGTCCGTGGCTTAAAGGTCACTTAGCCTTATGTACAATCGCATAATGCTAATCTAAACCCGATATAGTATCGATACTTCACAATGACATGTGTCTAAAGCTTCAACCAATCATCATCTTTGATTCTGCGACTCGGGAGAGGCTGTTGCACGGCCTCGTCTGTTTCTTGGGTGCTCACCAATAACTAACTTCCTGGCTGATGCATTATCGCGAATAATATACGTCTTCTGTACCTGACACTCCTTTCTATTTTTGCAATTCTCTTGTTTTAGTCGAATTATATTTGCTTTATTAGCTTGACGGCACGGCTCGTAGCTAATAGAGAGTCATGACGCGGCCCGACTCATAGCCCATCTCCCCGTTCGCATATAGAATATGTGGCTCGATCGGCTTGCCGGTCAGTCATCGTCTCCTGCTCCCTCCCAGCCCGGCAGCCGTTCCTACTCTCCCGCGCCTCGTCGAACACCGAGTGGATTAGGTCCGTACATTACGTCTCAGCAGCGACCGGGTGTCACCCCTAGATCCTCGTCATTATCCCTAGCATCTACCGAATCCTCAGCTTCTTCCCTCTTGGCATCTTCACGAAGAGCCAATGGCTCGACATTGAAGGAATCAAGTACGATATATAATGGGCCTGATCCTGTAGATGTATTAAACGCGCTCTTGGGTGACGATAAGCAGCATGCAACATCCGCTACCAATACGGCGGCCAACTCGGTCAGCTCGATATCACCCGAAGACCTTCAGTTAGAATTCGATTTTGGTGGGTTGTCTATCCGAGAGCTAGCATTATCAGAGGAAGCAGCAGTAAATGCTGCTGCTGTATATAGACCGCAGGCGGCTGAAGAGTGTATGCCCCCTTTTTATTCGAGACTCCACTCTCGCCCTACTCACTATTCTGCTTGCTAGATGACCGAGACAAGGCCAAGTTCGAAGAGCTACACCGATCAATCCGAGCCTGCGACGAGGTACTTAGCTCGGTAGAGACCAATCTGACAAGCTTTCGAAACGACCTTGCGACTGTGTCTGCGGATATCGAAACGTTACAAGCACGATCTACAGCCCTTAACGTGCGACTGGAAAACCGAAAGGCAGTAGAGAAGGGGCTAGGACCGGTGGTTGAGGAGATCAGTGTATCGCCTACGGTAGTATCCAAGATTGCCGACGGACATATCGACGAAGGCTGGGTAAAGGTAGTTGCAGAGATCGACAAGAGAGTTACCGCTCATAAGAAGAATATTGCAAGTGCGCAGGGTGCTAAGGGTCTGCAAGATCTCAGTCCTTTATTAGAGAAGCTGGTGCTCAAAGCTACCGAACGAATAAGAGATTTCCTCGTCGCCCAGGTCAAGGCCCTCCGGTCACCACATATCAACGCGCAAATCATCCAACAACAGAATTTCCTCAAATTTAGAGACCTGTACTCCTTTCTCCATAAACATCATGCCGCACTCGCCGACGAAATATGCCAGGCGTATATGAATACTATGCGGTGGTACTACGCCAACCAGTTTACACGCTACGAGAACGCGCTCCGAAAGATCAAGCTACACTCCTTGGATAAGACGGATGTATTGGGGAACGAGGATACTTCCAGGAAAGGCACGGTTCTTTCAAGTTCGAAAATTTCTGGCCCACCTCATGATGCCTTCAACTTGGGTCGGCGGATCGATCTCTTACGCACTCATAACCAAAGTGCGCTCTCGTCATACCTAGCTGAAGAAGACCAGTCTACCCACTACCTCGAAGCACCCTTCCGGAACTTTAATCTCGCCCTGATCGACAACGCAACGGCCGAGTACACATTTCTCGCGTCGTTCTTCTCTCCCGCTTTGAACTATTCTACTATCTCGCGCCACTTTACTTACATATTCGAGCCGACATTCCAGCTCGGCCAGGCGCTGACCAAGTCCCTCATAGGCGACACGTACGACGCTATTGGCGTCCTCCTCGCCGTCCGCTTGAACCAGCACTTCCAGTTCGAGCTGCAGCGTCGCAAGGTCCCTGCTGCAGACGGGTACCTCAATGGCACGGCTATGCTGCTATGGCCGCGCCTACAGGCCATAATGAATGCGCATTGCGAGTCTGTTCGCGCTCTCACGACAGCATTACCAACGCGCCCCCCAACATCCAAAGCTGAGCAGAGCAAGCTTTCCGCTGCTCCGCACGTCTGTACTCAACGTTTTGGACAGCTGCTCCACGGCATCCTGGCGTTAAGCACGGAGGGTGGAGACGACGAACCCGTAGTCACAAGCTTACGAAGACTACGCAGCGAGATGGAGGCCTTCCTAACGAAATACAGCGCAGCGTTCGGTAACGATAAGAGAAAAAGGGAGCGCTTCCTGTATAATAATTACAGTCTAATTCTGACAATCATCAGCGATACGCAGGGAAAATTGGCAGATGAAGAGCAGGAGCACTTCGAGGGGCTGAAGACGGCTTTTCAAGAAGCTGCTTGAGCTCGCGAGAGAAATTTAGTTGGGAACGGGTTCTGGATGACAGATTATATGTATGGTAAGAAAACTAAGAGACGATACGATTAAATGAGACTGCGTTTCGAAGGGAGGGCTAGCTACATAGCTATTTGATAAGAGCTAGCTGCCTATCTAACTTCCAAGAATACCTACCTAATGTAGCTTGCTTGTCCTATTGCATGTGCTTTTTTGTGCCACCGTACCATTTATTCACCCATCCATCTCGAGTGGACAGGTTACCCCAATTTAATGTATGTGCACCTATCAACCAATATCATCATCCATCCCAAGCTGCGAGTCGCAGCACATACCTAAATATAAACCCAATCCTTTAGTCCAGCTTGCATACAATCCTAGGACTCATTAAGCTTGTATTCATACACTTTTTCACGTACCCCCTCATAAAAACATATAAAATATCGGAACATCCCCCGTACCGTCGTCGTCCGACCATCCTAGTACCCTAGAAATAATGGCTCGGGATCGACCACGAGGTGAGACTCGACCATATAGGTGCTTTCCGGAAGTACACGGCGCCGGCGCCGATGACTACGGCTAAGACTAAGGTCCTGTTGGCCCACGCGGCCCGGAGTAGTTCTTCCCGCCGTTGCGCCCATTGGAGCTCGCGGCACTGTTTCTCGAAGTATTTATGTCCATCTTCGAGGGTCTGCGAGGCGCACACACTTACATCACGTGCAGTCTTCAAAGTGCTGGCACTCGAGACGGAGCGCCAGCTACGTAGAGATTCTGGGGGGTGACGATCAAATAGAGCGGCGGCATCGGTAATAATGGCGTCGAGATCCAGGTCATCGGGTAACTTCGAGAGGGTAAAGTGTAGCATGTCAGGCTCGTCCTGCTGGAAAAGCTCGTCCCGGCGGCGCAGGACGATCTGCGCGAAGACGTAAAGCGTAAAAGCCTGCTCGCGAGCTAATAGGGCATCGAACAGGCGCGCGATATCGCTGTACCGTCGCACGTTGTGCGCGAACATGGTCAACGTGTCCGACAACGCAAAAAAAGGCTCTGTTCGTGACACATGGGCACACAGCGCTGGGTCAGCTGCTCGAAGAATATCTGGAATCAGCCGTAGTTGCGCAACAGACGGGTTTAGGTTTGGTAGCATAAAGTCCCTAATGCGTAGGGCGGATAGGCGGGCAACGGCTGCGGCCCGCGTGGCTGGTGGGAGAACCAGTAGAAAGACTTGACATATGTCGTGATAGCCTTGGAAGTAGCAGAGGTATGGTTGCCGTCGGAGGACCTCGGTGATAAGGTCTGAGAGCTGCAACTTCTTCTTGTCAAGCTGCGCCTGGGTATCATCTAGCCACTGTGGTCAGCTTTACTCAGGGCGTGGGGGTGCTTGTGGGGCTATGCATCCCGTACCGTTTGGATAGTAAACGAAGCTCCGGTCAACGTCCAGCTTGACCTGGCCTTCGTCTCGATGCTGTTCTAGCTTTCCCCACGAATCGGAGCTTTCCTCCTGCTCCCCACGCTGGTCGACGTGAACGCCCAGCAATATCGGCCCTGTTGAAGAACCTTGAGCCTTATGATCCCGATTTAACGGGAGTGAGTGGGATAGACGAGGCGCGACGCGCGGGACACTCACATGCTTGGCAACGGATGGCGTCGGTGAGGAATCCACCCCTCGATATGGCTAAGGACTGAAGATCGTCGATGTCTCTCCGCTTGCATGCATCTAGGATGCGGGTATGCTTGCGGGTTAATGCGGGCGCATCACGAAAACCTAGGTCGTCCTTCTCCTCACTGCCGTCGACGTCCTCATACTCCCGGGCCATGGGATCGATGCACCTCGGTCTTTCCCGTTCCCTGCTGCGCGTCAGGTTGCCTTACTTGGTGCCTTGTGCATCTATATGAACAAATAGCATGCTGCTGCCCTATACAAGGGTCACAACTATGGCATTCGATACCATACAGCGAAGAAGATTCCAAGATATACCGCTTTTTGCCCCCTTATAACGTCGTCCAAGACGGAAAACTCTCTAGGCGCAGCCCGAGTCCCTAAGGACCTCCGTCCGGATTGGGCAAGCCCACCCAGGTAATATGTTTATCTAGAAAGGTGTCCTTTCGTATAGGCCGCGCAAGGCTCGGGCTAGGCAGGTAGTTTTAGAAAGGAAGAATCAAATTACCTTGATTCCTCACGAAATGAGAACTTGACGGGTGCAGCACGGGATGCTGTCTATTGGGCTTAAACGAAGGAAGTGAGAACAAATAAGTGAACTTAAAAGAAAAGAGTCCAAAACGGTTCAATGTTTCGATGCTGGCAGCTGGTCGGGAAATAGGGTGGGTCATCCCGTCTGGTGAGCTACCCTTGCGGCGCCATGTGCAGGTGCCAGGGGTGATCCCGGGAACCACTGCGCTAAAGCCGCTTACCTAAACTTTAAAGGACTTATTAATGCAGATAAAGGCCAGGCCTTTGCAGGTACCTCGTATTGTACCTTAGGTAGTTGTACAGCTGCATTTGTATGTACAATGAGGTAGGTAGGCGATTCTAGTATTTTCTAGCTACATGCAACAATAATTGTCTTCATTTTTATTTGATAATTAAGGGCGCTTTCGTGGGGATCGAAAGAAAAGAGTTGCTGCTTAGAAAAAACATGGCTCCGTGCTGAAATGGTACCTCAGGTAAGGTAGAGGAATTGCCGGACAAGGCTATTGTCTTTTCCCCCAGCTTCTATAAATATAATCTAGATAAGGGATTTGATATCCCCGTGCACCTCTTTGTTCCCGGACGACATTCGATCATCTTTCCCGACAGAGAGAACTCCATAAGACTGACTAACTTATGTTGAGATGCAGGTGAAGCATTAGCACATTATCTTTCAGGGACGGTTTAACCTGATGTAGCAGATCCCCATAGTTCTAACTAGAATAAGAGCGTAGTATACCGTGTAATAGCCATTTAATAAGAATATTGCGTGGTTGAACATACATGAATGCTACCTAGTACCTTAAAGAAAATGGTAACACCAGACTACAACGAAGTTGGGTTTTACTTTTGATCACTGCATTAGGTACCTAGGTACTTTTAGATAAGGTACCTCCTACACTAGATAGATACAGATACATACATGCTAGGTGCTCGGTTAGGTAGAATGGGAAGCTTTTAGCCCCGCAACACCGTCTAGATTCCACCTTCTCCGCGCCTTAGGATATGCTGTACGGACTACCTGTACGACAAAAAAAATTAGACTAGAGATAGGTACTGCCTGTGCTGCCTGTGCTGCCTGCATGCTATACTTGGCTTCCTGCATCTCAAAATTGAGGGAAGAAAGACCCAAACACCTTTCTAATGCATCTGCAAGGCCAACGACACGCGACTGATTGCTTCCCCGCATCGTTTTTTATAAAGGTACTGCAGCTTTCCAATACTACCTCTGAGTCAAAGTTGCAGCTTTGCAGAATTCCAGAATTCCATACGTCTGGACAATCCCCTAACCCCCCCGGAACGCTGGCACCTAAGATTAGGCCTCGACTTTTAAAGAATAACGACTAATGTCTAGCGAATAGTCATATGCAGTAAATCCCGAGCAGCACTTTATTTCCAAACGGCCATATGCAAGGTTAGATATATATCTACCTCTTCTCGGGTAGCCAGCAACCTTGGTTGAGCATTTCTTTAACGCTATTAATATCCTGGGCCCTTATTCTATAACATCTTCTAATTCGATAAAGCTGGACTTCCATTTATCTAAATCTGGGACCTGATACAGATTGCCTGTCAGCGTTCTCCTATTCCCCAGGTCCTCTAATCCTGGATTTGAGAATTATCAAAGTGTTGTTCCGGGTGCAAAAGCTACTACGAATCCTTCTTAACCAAGATATCAATGAATGGCTTCGTGATAGCGTCGCTGATAACTACAACCTAACGATATCTTTACCTAATATTGCGAAATATTCGCCACCTGTGCCGGGTCAACATACCACATCGTTTCCAGAGCCCTCATTCATCATAACTGAGTCCGTGATCTGGTTTCACAACCAACAATGTCGTTACAAACCTATGTTCTCGAAAATGACGAATGGGTGGCACGTACCATCTCTGCCGACGAGCTTATGAGAGACAACAGCACTCCTCACCGTAAGACGGGAAGACAGTCTTTCTCAAAGCCGCCTACCTGTGGCCTACTCACAAGAACAGTTGTTGAGAGTCCTGTTATAAGATGGGTGCTACCCGTGCAGCTTCGGTCAGCCCGGTATAATGACGTCGCATTAATTGGTGTAAGTTTCTTGCTATCCCCTGACCTTTTCCTTACTTTATTTCCTTGTGAAAGTGTTCGTCAAAAATTAGTAAACGGCTACCTTATAAGGCTTCTGCCGATTATATTTACGCTAGGGATAGCTCTCTGCAAATCCTTTCTCGCTTATTCTGACTTTGAAATAGGATAATTGCGTTCAGATATGTGAGCTTGGTCGTGATAGGCAGCTCCATGACGTCGTCAGAAAGAAAGATTTCGGCTCCAGGATACGAAATGCCGTGGTCATGGGCTCGCCTCAGTATTCCCGCAAAGCGAGCGAGAGCAACGAGGATACGACGCATGTTAAAGCTGAGGACGGTGATTCGGGAATGGTCGACATGGGAACCACGCTGCCCGGCTTCCGAGATGTGAATTCCAAGCTTCCTCCTCAAATATTAGTCTTGGTGCTCGAACGGGGCGACTTGGTATTTCTGTTCTTGCAGCAGGGGCCTGCTAATAGTTGGGTCTTCTTTACATCCACCCATAAGATTCCTGCACAGCGCCTCATTTGCCCCGGATTCCACATGGCTATTGATCCTTCCTCAAACTTTCTAGTAGTTGCATGTTCCGACAGCCTCTTCATCATGTTTCAACTTCACTCGATGGAAGACCTACAGGCCCAATACTTCCTAAAGAAACCTTTTCAGCCCATAAAAAATAGGGCAGCTCGGTCGGTCAGGGGCATCATCCACAAGATTGAATTCCTTCATCCAACACATGGGAATGAAATACAAGTGATCATGATGGTTATTTTGGTCCAGCCTGATATTTCAAGGCTAGCAATATACGAATGGGATAGTAGGCTCGATATTCCAGAGACCTTCATGGATGAGCAGTTTGGTTATCGTCTTGACAATGATTATCGCATGCCTCTGTTGGTTGTACCTCTGAAAGTGCGCAATGCGTTTTTGGTCATCACGGAGCGGATTACAGCAACTTGTTCAAATATACTGGGAGGATCCCCTGTATTTGTCCAATTTGAACTAGTAAATCGGGAGGATACTTCATTACACCACGGTACTCGCGAACCGCTATGGACAGCATGGACTAGACCTATACGCCATCCACCGTACCACGATAGTAAGGATGTCATCTACTTGGCGAGAGAAGACGGCTTCATCAATTTTCTGGAATGCGGCGACGAGTTCGAAATCGAAACCAGTGTTAGCATGGGGTCTGTGGACTGCAACATTGACACAGCATTTGCCTCTCTCTTCCATCCCTTCGGAGATATTCTAGTTACTGGTGGGGACTCTGGCCCTGGTGCAGTTTGGAATGTGAGTTGCTCTTAATATAAATATAGCCATTTAGCTAACACTACTATTACGTATAGGTTCAAGCGAGACAGTCCCCGCAGAGAATTGGCTCGATTCCGAATTGGTCTCCTATAGTGGACTTTGCTATGACGAACTCAGCAAGAGGGGCTATTGAAGAGAGTAATGAAGACCCCAATGCCTCATCCCTAGCGAGTAATGGGAATATAGTTCCATTGCAGCAAGAAAAGATTTTTGCTTGCAGCGGCAGAGGCATGAGCGGTGCCATTACGGAATTTCGATACGGAGTTCAGGCCAGAATTGGTTTAGACCTTACGTACTCCTCCAACATTAGGCAGTGCTGGGCTATCTCTGACTTTGACGGTGTTGCAGAAGATGGTTTCTTTCTTATTCTGGCCCTTCCTAATGAGTCAGCCGTTCTGCACTTGACTCGGGATCTCGCCGAGGCATCGGAGAAAGATCACGAGGCCATCCCATACGACCTATCTTCAACAACATTAACTGTCCGTGAAGCTGATGGTGGAGTGGTGCAAATTACAACAAACTATATCACGATTGCTACCCCAACAGGCTGGTAAGTCGTCTACTTATTCTTGATATGAGGATCATGACAGTTATTAACAAGGCTGGACTTGTAGTTCCCAGAGTTTAATAAGTGATGTAATACGAGACCATACTGCTATCGTTTCGTATGCAGCCGTTAGATCCAACGTGGTCGCCTTGGCAGTTTACTCTGGATCAAAGTTCAGTATCGTCCTGCTTAGCATTGTCGGTCTCGAAGTGTCCTTACGGAAAGTGCTTGATATCGAAGGCGAAGTTACTTGCCTTGCGGTAGAGGACTTTGGAGATAGTCTTGTGGTCTTAGCCGGTCTTCGGCAAGGAGGGGATTCAATTATTGCAATATATCCGACTGAAATAGACAGGCAAGCTTCGGTAGCCCCAATCCTACTGAAATTATGTCCTAGTACGTCGTCTTCGGGAAACTTGAAGGAACTTGATACTGATTTATGCAAAGCTACAACAAACCTAGGTCCCAGTGCCAACACGACGAACACCATAGGGAATAATGCGTTCGGAGCCTTGACAAGTATAGTTAGTCTTGGCGAACGCTCTGGAAAAGCCGTTGTTGTAATTGGAACAAGAGATGGAGACGTGCTTACTATCCAACTTGATCAGTCACAACCAGAAAACTATGAGATTTATCGGGACAGACTTGGCGTGGCACCTTCTCACGTTTATTCCGGTAGCATTGTTGGAGATGCTAACTCGGTCTTGGTGTGCACCGATGCTGATCTCGCAATAATGACGAGCTTTGTAACAGGCCGCCAAGGGGGTCATTTTGAGGAGATAAACCGCGTTTGGCCAACTGACGGAGATAGGCCTTCTATGTCTTCTCCGCCGATCAACTCTGTAGCATCGTTGTTTGAGCAACTCCCGGAATATGGAAGATCGACAATGGTGATGATTGCTGGCTCACGGATAATGGTCACCGAATTCCAATCTCGCCCAAAATTGGTCCCACGATACTTCTCCGTCCACGGGACGCCGATCAAAGTTCTCTATTATAAAAGACTAGAGGCTCTTGTTACTGTCGTTTCGAAAGATGGGATACCTTCGTTACATTTCCTTGATCCCGCGACAGGGTATGATTTATCACGACCTTTTGAAAGAGAAAAGTTGAACGAGGGCTATAATTACTACGGAGCGGATTACATCACGGGCCTTGGGAATCCGGAAACTAGAGCGACGTCTCTTACAACGTGGTCTTACAGAGCTGGAAATATTCACGGAGATTGGATCGTTCTTGCTATGCACAGGAGAGATAACGAGGGTCTCCTACTAATCATCTCGGCCGACCTTGAGGATGTTTCGAGTCGACCCGATACGCCGCGTCGAATACGTTTCTGGACTAAATTCGATCGGAAGATACGGGACGGGCCCATATGGTCAGTTGCCACAGACGAGCATGGTGTATTTTTATGCGTCGGAAACTGCATCCAGTATCACATAATCGAACAAAACAAGTTCAAAGTTGTAAAACAACACGAACTGCCATCCCCAGCCTCATGGATGCAGGTAGTGAATGGGCGACTACATGCACTTACCAAAAAACACTCGCTTGTAATCCTTGACTATCAAAGCGAGCCACTTGGTGACAGTGGTCAGATGATTCGACTACACACAGACGACACCTGCCGGAGTGGGCTGCATTCTATCGAAGTACGCACGCCTTTGAGCGCTATAACTATGCTATCTGACCCGATGTGCGGGGTTCATGGTTTATGGGCCCCCTCTGAGAATGAGCGACCGTTAAGTTTGATATTTCAAGCGGAGCTTCAAGGCTCTATTAGGAGGTTTGCTCAAGGGTACACAAGAGCTTCGTGGAACTCGTCTAAGAAGCGAGCGCGCTATGGTTGCCTTCAGAACAGCCCTCCTGGATCAGATATCATAGGTCTTACTATCGATGGTTCACTTCAGCACTTTGCGCTCTTGGGAGAAGATGCCTGGAGATTCCTCAGATTCATCCAAAACCTGGCCATGGTGTCTCCAGCAATCTGCCCGCATACCTCGTCAGACCCAGCCGCGGATGGGCCTGATCCGGAGCCCAGAGCTAATCCGAAGTTGAATATGCAAGTGGATGGGGACATCCTGCAAAGATGCCTTGACAAGCGTGCATTGGAAGAGCTAGTTTCAGAGCCACAGCATATACAACGATTCCGAGAACTTCTTGAGCCCCTAGACGAGGACAACTGTTTATCGCTACCTCAACCAGATCCCAATCGCAACACAGCATACTATGAACTGGGTTACTGTATCTTGAAGTATTATCTATCTCCTGTGCTTTGATCTTGATATGAATGCAATTACGTTAAAGAGTTTTTAACTCGCAAGAATCCGATTTCAAATACGTTACCTACGAAGTTGACAGGTATCAATGGGAAATAACAACTTCCGAGATTAGTGGTTGGCTATCATGTAGAAAAAGAATGGTCCAGGTAGATTTTACACTTTTGACACCCGCGGTGCTCATCTTGTTTCTAGGTAGGTAGGTAGTTAAGATTTGGTCGTGTGGTAAGAGGCGAATGAAGAATTTACAAGAGCGGACTACCTACATTCTCTCTAAGATATCAGGCCAAAAGCTATTGAGGAATTTCTAGACTTGAAATGAATTCTGTATACTATGGCATCAGTAGGAATTAATTCTTTGTTAAGTGATGAAGAGCATATTTCCATCTTGTTAGGTTATATGCAAGAGAATGCATTTTCTGGTTTAATCAACTCTTCTATATTTTATTAGTACTGCCACAATTTTTCCAGCCAATCAGATCCTTAGAATCGCCCCGCAGTTGGCGACTTTTTCCTTTGCCATTCTATCGCATAAGGTTTGAAACACATGCAAATAAAATAAAAAGGTCATGCAAAACGAGCTCTATCCAACGATACCAATTATTAAATTTTTTATATAATAGTAGAATAGGTCAATTGATTTTATAAAAAATTCATTGGACGTGCGCTGAGGTGTGGCTAGCCAATCAGAAAGGCCAGACTTATATGTGGCGTAAAAAGGCACTCTTGAAGCTAGGCACTCCCCGTAAGCGCCTGCGCGAACGGGTAACGCAGCTAGTCATAAATTGACAGTGTAAGTAGAAGTGTATTAATAGAGTAAGTTATGAGTACCTAGGTTAAGTCCTATAGACTACATCGCTGTTATTAATAATACATCTTGACAAGGTCTTCTGAAATGATATAGTGGTCAATGGGATATTGAGAATAGGTAGGTAATTAGTATAATAATGGCGGAGTTATACCATATGCGCGTGCCCTGTTGAGAACCTTGGGGGGTTCATTGTAAGTCACCTGTATTAGGAGCACATTAAGGCTATACCTGTTGTTTGATATTTGTAGGTACCCAGATAGTCTTTCCAGATACTCTTCCTGTGGTTAAGATTTTCCGAGATAGTAGAGGACGTTGAAGAAAAGGGGTAAAAAGGTGAAATCATACGGCTTGTTGTATCTAATCGGCGTTTATCGATAAGGTACCAAGACTCGCTAAAATTTTCATAAGTCAATATTGTGCAAGCTTAATTCACAGAAATATATAGGTTCACCCAGGAACGACCGCCGTCATCATTACCTCTATCTGCCTAGGTACATGTTGATTACCCCACTACAAAGAAGGCAATAACGGCCCTAACCCTCCCTACGTCTTACGTTCTTCGCCGAAAGGAAACCACGTTGCTTGTTGTAAAAAAATAAAGATTCCCTCTAGTTTGATTTCACGTCTATCGTGAAGCGGCATAACGGATTTATATTTGCCGCTAGTAATAGCATTTTTCCAACTAAGTCTACTAGTTTGACGCTTTTATTCCATAAGGTCCCCGCCGACTTAAAAAATCACCCTTCGCTGTTTTGCAGCAGAGACCCCACCATCTTTAATCAACTCCAGTCATATTGAGGCGCACACATCCTCATATCCTCACGTCCTTACGTCCTTACGTACGACTCAGTTCATCGAAAAGAGGCTTGAGCAGTATCTGAACATATCGGATACAATCTCTGCTCAATATTTATAATCGGTTAAATTTATCTCTCCTCAATTCATCCGACCGCGAACATGCCGCCCAAGAAGAAGGGAAATAAGAAGGCAGATGACGACTGGGAGGCAGAATTAGGCGAGTCGATAGCACCTGCAAATGGAGACGGCACTGCTTCTGCCGCTGCAGCGCCCGAGGAGAACAATGAAGAAGACGGTGCACCGGCAGGTGGCCTCATGGCAATGATGAAGAAGAACAGAGAAAAAAGAAAGAAGAAGGGCCTGTCGGAGGATTTCGTTGACGGCGGCAATGCCTCTACTACCGAGCCCGTGCCTGATGTGGCTGCTAAGGCCCCTGAAGAAGCGACAATGGATGACGAGTTCGCATTGCCGGAAAAGAAGGGCAAGGGTGGGAAGCAGAACAAACAGCAGCCGGCGAAATCCGCAGCGGCAGGTGCTGATGATGACGAGGTGGGAGAGGGTGGAAGAATGTTAACTAAGGCCGAGAAGGAGAAGTTGAAGAAGGAGAGAGAAAAGCAAAGAAAAAGGGAACAGGTGAGTAAAACTTTAAGGGTATATGACTTCACTTCATAGTCTAACTCAAAACTCCCTAGGCCGCGAAGAAGAAGACCACACCCGCTCCAGCCCCTAAAGCTGCCGAGCCTGCGAAGCCCGCGGTAGAAGAGAAGAAGGATATACCTGAGCCTGTACCAGCAGGCGACGTTGGAGGAAAGAAGGGCAAGAAGCTTCCTGCGCATTTATTGGCTCTTCAGAAACAGCAGGAGGATCTACGACGGCAGCGAGAAGAGGCCGAGCGTCTTGCCGCCGAAGAGAAAGCTAGATTAGAGGCACTCGAGCAGGAAGAAGCTGAAGCATCTAAGCGGAGAGAAGAGGAGAGAGCTCGCAAGAAGCAGAAAGAAAAGGAGAGGATCGAACAGCTGAAAAAGGAAGGCAAGTTCCTTACCAAGGCACAAAGAGAAGAGAAGGCCCGGAACGAGAGAAAACTTCAGCAGATGATTGCTGCTGGTATTAAGGTCGGTCCTTCTGAAGATGGCGAGGAAAAGAAGAAGAAGGTTGTCTATGATAACAAGAAGCGTACCAAGAAGAGCGACCAAAAGGTATTTATTCACGTTACCACATTATTTCCCCATTTACTACTCCCCGATAATTCCTAACCCATATTCTACTAGGTCGATGAGGAGAAAGCCTTAGCTGAAGCTGCCGAGCGCGCGAGGCAGCAGGCCGAAGCTGCAGCAAAGGCAGCCGAAGAAAAGGCAGCTAGACATGCTGCTAAGGCGGTAGCCAAAGCTGCTAAAGAAAAGGCTGCCCAAGAAGAGGATGTTGACGAAGACTGGGAGACTGCTGCCGCTGCCGTTGATGAGGGCGTAAAGGACAGCTGGGATGCCGAATCGGATGGAGAAAATAATTCATCAGCACAAGCTGGGCAAAGAAAGGCGATACCTTCCCGACCCAAACCCGTATCAGAAGATTCCGAATCCTCTGATGAATCATCCGAGGACGAAGTCCAGACAGCAGCACAGGCCGCAGAAGCTCAACGGAAGAAGGAAGCTGCTGAACGACGAGAGAAGGCCCATCAAGCCGCCTTAGCTGCTAGGTCAAAGGATAACCTCCGTTCTCCTATTTGCTGTATCCTAGGACACGTCGACACAGGAAAGACGAAGTTGTTGGACAAGATCAGACAGACCAATGTCCAAGAAGGCGAAGCTGGTGGTATTACTCAACAGATTGGTGCGACATATTTCCCCGTCGACGCCATCAAGCAAAAGACGGCCGTGGTCAACCCGGATGGGAAATTTGAATTCAAGGTCCCTGGTCTATTAATTATTGATACGCCTGGTCACGAGTCTTTCTCTAATCTCCGATCCAGAGGATCTTCGCTCTGTAACATTGCCATCTTGGTTGTTGACATCATGCACGGCCTCGAACCTCAGACACTCGAATCTATGAAACTACTCAGGGATAGAAAGACGCCTTTCATTGTTGCGCTCAACAAAATCGATCGTCTCTACGGCTGGAAGAAGGTTGACAACAATGGCTTTCAAGAAAGTTTGGCACTTCAGAACAAGGGTGTCCAAAACGAGTTCAGGAATCGATTGGAGCAGACAAAACTTGCATTTTCCGAGCAGGGTTTCAACGCCGAACTCTACTACGAGAACAAGTCGATGGCCCGATACGTATCGCTGGTACCAACCTCGGCACACACTGGCGAGGGTATTCCCGACATGTTGAAGCTGATCATCCAGTTGACCCAAGAGAGGATGGTGGGATCCCTAATGTATCTATCCGAAGTCCAGGCTACCGTTCTCGAAGTCAAGGCCATTGAAGGATTTGGTATGACTATTGATGTTATCCTGTCAAACGGTATCCTTCGAGAAGGTGATCGGATAGTAGTGTGCGGTGTAGAGGGCGCCATCACTACAAACATTCGTGCACTGTTAACACCGGCTGCTATGAAGGAACTGCGTGTGAAGTCTCAATACGTGCACAACAAGGAAGTTAAGGCAGCCATGGGTGTGAAGATCAGTGCACCAGGTCTTGAGGGTGCTATTGCAGGTTCGCGACTGCTCGTAGTCGGTCCCGACGACGACGAGGAAGATCTTGAAGAGGAAGTCGAGTCGGATCTTAACAAGCTGTTCAGCCGTGTTGCCACGACTGGTCGCGGTGTGAGCGTGCAAGCCTCGACACTGGGTTCTCTCGAAGCTTTGCTCGACTTCTTAAAAGACTGCAAGATTCCAGTAGCAAACGTTGGAATCGGTCCTGTGTTCAAGCGAGACGTTGTTCAATGCGCGACTATGCTCGAGAAGAGTCCGGATTACGCCGTTATGCTTTGCTTTGATGTGAAGATTGACAAGGAAGCACAGGCATATGCAGAAGAAAATGGCATTAAGATTTTTACCGCTGATATTATCTACCATCTCTTCGATGCTTTCACAAAGCACATGGACGAGCAGCTTGAGAAGAAGAAGGAGGAATCTAAGATGCTGGCAGTCTTCCCCTGTGTCCTAAATACCGTCGCTGTCTTCAATAAGACAAGCCCTATCGTTGTGGGTGTTGACGTGGTAGATGGTAGTCTCAAGGTCAACACTCCAATTGCTACCGTGAAGCAAAATCCGATAACTGGTGCCAAGGAGATAATCAGTCTAGGCAGAGTGTAAGTGACGCTAAAATATCGTTATTTCTTTTTGCTTACTTGACTAACAACTTCATAGGACTTCAATCGAGAGGGATCACAAACAGATTCCAGTCTGTAAGAAGGGTCAACCTTCAGTAGCTGTCAAGATTGAGATGGGTGGTCACCAACCCACATATGGCCGACAGCTCGAAGAGAAGGATGTCCTTTACAGTTTGATTTCTCGAGCTAGTATCGACACTCTCAAGGAGTTCTACCGTAAGGAAGTGTCAAATGAGGAGTGGCAACTCATCATCAAGCTCAAGCCTCTATTTGACATCAACTAGAGCGCGCCGACTGGTGTCAATGGGGGGATCAAGGCTGAGAAACTAGTATGCATTTGAAGACGGCTCATGAACATCATGGGAGCGTGGCATTTTCCTGCTTGTATTTTTGAGGTCGACACGAGGAAGGCAACAAAATGGTACGGTATATGAACGGGGTTCTTATGGATTCTAGAACGAAGCACGATGGCCTAATGGCTTGGTGCCGGATAGATCAAGATCTCTCGTTTTATACGTAGTGTAGGTATTAGGGAAAATTTAGCTGAATCGTTTAAGGGAGCTCTTATATCTTCATTGAACGATGATTATTCTATTACTACCATATCACTAGCACCCCTCGTCAAGGGTATTTCTTTTATGGACCCCATCGTCATACTTCATCTAGCAATAAGTATTGACTCAGATCTTCGACATCAATAAAGTGCATAGGCATATCCCAAATTTTAGAAGCAGCGCACATCCTTGAAAGGGTGATGTAATATGTTGTACTTACTGTTTAAGAAGTCATTTCTTTCATCGCAGCCCCCCAACCGGGATAGTTAGGAGGTACTTACCCTTGGCTTCACACAAATTCTAGGTACTACGTGGCATGCATAATACCCCAAGCACGACAGTTATGCCGTGTGACATTTTAACTACGTCTCTCGAAGATACTTCGCTGCCGCAGCAGGAAACAGAGCCCAAACTAAATATATATCAGAAACAGCGTATTACCAAGGGGTGGGGAGAGGATTAGAATAGCCCGTTCACTCGAGATATAATGAATTTTGAAGCACTTTGTAATATCTTGATGTTGACATATAGGCTCGGGTCTTACGAAACTACCCGCAACGACGGCTGAACGTCCCGTAGTATAAGGTATCAGATCCATCATCTGTGATAGACAAACATTATCCTCGGTATTACTTCTTTGAGGATACAAGTCTGACAGAAACTCATTACGTTCCTACTTTCGCTTTTAGAGAGAATCGAAAATCACCAGACGGTTCGAGAGAAGTTGACATGATATTGTAATATTTTATTCATCCAATATTCTACCCCTGAATTCCCAGAAAAGGCTAGCGAACAGACATTTTATGTACTCCAAAGATTCCTTGATTGAAAGAAGTACGACAGCTAGGTAGGTATTAATTTTGAGGGGGCCTCTACGTAAGAGGCAAAGCTGAAAAAGAGTCAAGGGGCTTTCGCTTATTTATCCGGTTTGAGAGGAACAACAGCCGAGATGATCTCGGCTCGTCAGACCATAGCTAACTAACTTAAGCGCAGAGATCGGCCTCCAAGTCCACGGGCTGCGGGCAGTTGTACACCTTTTTGTGGGCAGGCGTGCTGTAGCAGTCGGCCTGGCCAGCGGCACAGTCGAAGATTTCGCAGCCGTCACCGGGGGTGAGAATGTTGTGCGAGTTCGCGAAGGGGTTGCCCCATTCACTAGATGTTTGTTAGTAAATGGCTGGTGATAGCCATTGGATGATTAGAGAAACTTACGTGCTGAGTTCATCTGAAGGATATATTAGCGGATGTTCCAGATTAATATGCATGTGACAACAGGAGTGTACTTACAGTAGGCGATGTCGGGGTTGGAGCTGAAAGAGTATCCGAAGAACAGCGGGCTGGAGAGGGTCTTGGTGGTGGCGATCTTGACGGTCTGTAACATAGGGTGTTAGTTTGTTCCGTTCTGGAATGGTAAAGATTAGGCGAGAAACTAACCGAACCGGAAGGACGGAAGTCCTCGGAGAAAGAGTCTCCAGTCTTAACGGCGGTTAGGGTGCCAGCGGCGCTGCCGTCGAAGGGGTACGACTGGACGTAGATGGTCGAAGGGCAGTTGTTCTTGACGATGGCCTTCTGGGCAGAGACGCCGGAGGCGACGAGGGCAGCGCCCATGATGGTGGCGGAGAACTTCATTTTGGCGGGTTGGAGTAGTTAAAGTAAAAATTACTGATTAAGATCTGGATATTGTATTGTTCTTGGAGATTAGATATTATCAAGACAGGCGCTGGTGAGGAGACAAGAATGAAACTGCAGATCAGGCGAACGAAGAGCTGGCTTATATAGGTAAGGTACGCTTCTACGACGTAACGCCTAAATAGTCGGGCAATGCCCTCCCGTACGTTCGTCGCTGTCATGACCGTCATCAGAGGGCTGCTGCTCCATCGCAATACGAATGCCAATTCTCGTATTACCTTGACACGAGGTCGGGGTCGTGATCTTAGATCCAATCAATAACCGGTCTTGCGTCTGGGGTCCCGTCCCCGCAAAAAAGAGGCCCGAGCCGGTTCCGGCTGATATGCCGGATTCGCCTCATATGGCCTGCTGGCTGGTATGAATTTCTACGAAGTAGGTATTATGTTGCGAGGTGATGGGAAAGAAGCTTCTTTGTCTTTTATTATTATTTTTAAGTAGGTAGCTATAACCCTATCTGAGACAGTATTACTGATATGGTATTGGTGATAATACGAATAGTGATGATGGTATTATTCTATAAGGGTCTTTGTTCATGGTGTCTCGGTAGTCCCGGGTAAGCATCTAGCATAGGCTACTATCTCGATAGAGCTCATCGAGTACGGGAAAGTTTCTCATCATCTGAACACGACCAACCAATCAATTGCTCGAGTAACCACAGCTGCAGCCTCACCGCTTATCCCCTCGATACAGCTGAAAGATCTATTATGCAAACACTTCTTGGCGTGAGGCAGAGAATACGGAAACCGGGGATTAGTGTAGACGCTACTGCTTGACACTCTGTCGGCACTAGTCTTCAGTTTGGTTTATTCTACGAGATGTAACGTCGGTTTATACACTACATGGTTATCTAGAATGTAACTAAACTGAGAGTTAAGTCTTCATGAATAAAGAATAAAGAATATTGTTGTTGGTAATCTACCCAATGTACCTGTGGAATATAGCAACGATGGGGAAAGTTGCTCGACTCTTACGTCCCTTTGGGGAACATATTACCAAAGAAAACCCAGCGAATCCGGGAGTTCTGCGGCTTGTAAGGGTCCACGCAATTAGAAGACAGCCAGGCCGATATCCGACGTTCCATCCCGACCCGTCAGTACTGCCGAGACTACTATGTACCTACACAAGCACAGCAAACCACTCGATCCACTGGAGCATATTCCGTTCCTGAATTCTGGAACCTCTCAATACGACATATAGTTGTCACAGATTTGTTGTCACCGCTAATTTCTACAAAGAGAAAAACGAGAGGCTCGGAAGGTTTTGCCATACGAATGTCGTACGGGAAAAGTCTTACTTAGGTATGCTAGCGGCTTCATGATTTAACAGGGGTTGAAGCTCCGCTTCTCCCGTGTGGTTTTTATGCGAAGAGGTATTTAGACTTGGGAAAAAAAGCGGAATAGAAAGAAATCTTTAGGTTATGGAAAGATCTAGGACGGATTCGTGAGGTGAAGTCAGATGACTTGACCAGCAGAAAGTCCAGCCCCTGAACTCTCTGATAGCAGAATTTGCGGCACGGACAAGAACCAAGAACTTACCACCCAGGGTCATCAGGGTATTTATTAGAGTTGACGGGCGATGGGTACGTTCAAGATTTTCTCTAGTAATATTGAGAACATGGCCAAGATTGATATAGCAGTTTAAAGGGACATACACACACGTGAACTCTACAGATAATCCCAAATAGTGCAATCTTTTCATTAGATTTCTCGATAGACATACCATCGGGAAGAGCTCGTAAGGCTATTAGGGAATGGCTTAAACTTTTCAAGTTTTATGTTTGAAAGTAGTTTAGTCGACAGGGGAAAGATGGATAGAACAACCCATCTTGGGTAGGATAAGATCAAGGTGCTGTACTACAGCCATTATTACATAGGGGAATTATTTAATAGATCAAGTGTTAGCTAATATACCTAATAGCTAAGTGCTGTGATGGAAAGGGGAAAATTATTGATGAAAGATACCTATTCGCGTATCGGAACCCTTCACCATATAGGATTGAGATATGGGTATCACATAGGAAGTTGATTGTATATTAATGAAGGACCAGCGAGATTTATTGTTAATGATAGCTACAGAGCTGTCAAGTAGGCCTCCAAAGATAACGAACTAAGCTTATATATATACTCTCGCAGGAGCTAGTTAGGACTTCCCCTTTTACCTGATTAATTACTCCTAGCTATTATATTGAGTGATGCTAATTGTAGATTACCAAAAATTCCTTCCACGTAGATTACCCCACAGAACAAGTGTATGCACCTGGCCACCAAAATTACTAGTAAAATGACATGGCCACCTTCTGCCTCATCAATCTTACAGAAGGTCCAAATTTGTCAACAATACCAATGGATATATTGATATATTTTTATATACTTAAAGTCTCATGGCTGAGACGAATTGATTAGTATTAATCTTATTAGAATGCGACCGCATGTAATGAAGTTAATATAAAAGTAATCTACAAATAAGGGAATGTAATCTGTAAATAGTGGCATGTAATCTACAAATAGCAATATTTATCTTATATTCCTCGGCCACAACAACGTATCTAACAGTAGTTACTTATATAGATCGAATCAGCTTAAGAAGGCCAATTTAATGATACCACAATCATATAATAATACCGTGTTTTGGTCAAGATATTAAAGAGTGACAAGAATAGATAGGTAGGTAAAATAGTCGGCCAGGTCGGCCAGGCCTGGCGGACCTGGTCAGGTGACCTAGGAAACATTCCCACGATCTCTATACATCAATTAAACCAATTATATCAATTACATCATCAGGAATATCATCAATATAATCCTTTTGAGGTCAAAATTAGTATGTATCGGCTGTGTTTTGAGAAAGTTATGAGGCAGAAAGTGGCCATGTCATTTTACTAGTAATTTTGGTGGCCAGGTGCATACACTTGTTCTGTGGGGTAATCTACGTGGAAGGGCTGGCATGGTAATCTACAATTAGCATCACTCATTATATTACTTATAAGATATCAGTACTGAGATAGAGTGATCCGATACCACGAGTACGCTGTAGTGATTCCACCTGTATCTAATGAGACCTGGGTCTCTCAGACATAGCCTGTAGACTATGGCTAGTGGTAGGCCACCTCAAGCCTAGCTAGTAAGGGGGCTACGGCGTAAGCGCCGTGTTAAGGTAACTGTAACAGTGAAAGTATGGTATGAAAATAGTAGTAGTAATAATTGTATGACTAAGAGAGTAAGTTCTGACTAGCTGAGCCTCTTCCTAAAAAGGGAAGCCTGACTTATACACACGTTCTTGCTAAGATATCACGTGCTGTACCTGACGACAGTCCCTTAACCACTTATTTCAGCACGTACAATCTAAGCCGAGTGCGCCAGCGATGTCACTGAAGAAAACGAATGAAGTAGGTATATTTGACTCTATGGGGTAGTAAAGAGAATTGCGAGAGTGCATAGATAGATTCGAATATACTGTAGCGCGAAAGAAAACGGAAATAGCCTCATTTCCAGCTTGGTTAAAGAGCAAAGGTAGATCTTCTTTATATGTAACTGGTCCCTTAACTTAGATGAGTCTTGCAAGTCGAAATATATTAAGAAGTAGTAACTTTTAGTTTGCCAGGGGCGGGTATTAAAGCGGGAAAAGCGGGTCTTAACTCCTATTTCCTTTTAAACTCCTTAATATTTACATAGTCGCCGCTTACACTAGTTTTGGATAGCTGTTATCCTTATCACTTTATAGGTGAATCTATACGAATGATGCCCGAGTTTACGAGGGGTTATTGTGTCGAATTTTTTCCATGGCCCAAATAGGAAAGTAACTCAATGGGCAGTATCTGGCACGTGCATCACTTTTTAAGCGATTTAATTGGGTGCACGACCTGTATATGTGGGACATGGCTTGGCATTTTCGTCGAAACCAACTCTAAAGGCTAAAATAGCTTTGATTGGGTGCATCACTTAAATGTGGGCCCGACCTTGATAAGAAAGATAACGCCACGTGACCACATATGTAGCCATATACGTAGCCGCACGTGACTTAACCACATGACCTGGCGATAGGCCATTAAAAACAAAAGGGATAAACTTTCGCTTACGCTTTCGCTTTCGCTTTCGCTTTCGCTTTCGATGGAGGCAAAGGCAGCGGCGCGAAGCGCCGCTGACTTTGCCTGTTATATAATGCGTTAGGTAATTAAAAAAGGTGCGAGGTTGAGGAATCGAACCTGGGGCCTGGGAAGGTGTGGCCGGGATAATTTCGGGCTATAGTATAGCCAGGTGATTACGTAAGGGTTGTTACGTAAACTCGGGCTATTGTGCAGCCCGGGGGGTTGCCTCCTGTTACATATTCAACGGAAAAAAGTGCGAAATTCGCACAGTTATACAACAACATGCACCGGTTAAGGAGCTTTCAGACTAAAAGCCCGTACTACAAATCTTGTAGTTATGCTTAAAATATATTTAATAAAGCCAGGCGGGTCAACGAAGAGAAGATAGTGAATGAAGAGAATAATTATAACTTATATATTTATAGAGTTTAGCTATCCCGTATAGCTCTATGCCGAATTGAAGATATGTTTTCTCGCGGCATTGGATAGAATCTCACGGACTTGGGGAATTAGATATAGAGAAGTATAAGAAAATAATTATTCACCGGTGAATAGGTATTGAGGCTAAGGTGCTTTCTAGAAGTTGGTGATATAATCACGGGTTATTTCTCATGGCTTGTCATACTATAAAACGTGAGACAGAAAATCACAGTAAGGGAGTTCTCCTGTATCTGATTGTATTCCCCATAAGGCTTAACCTAGACTGGACTCGGCCTAAATTTACCCCGTTTTTTTATAAAATGCCCCGAACTGAGGTTGCTTTGTAATATCCGCTCCGCTGCTAGAGGTTATAGCTTAATAATGTGCCGCCTATAAGAAGGTAAAGTGTTAAAGATGATGAGAGTGATGGTGGAAGATAAAATGGGTCCCGCGGGAAAATTGCCGTCATTGCTTCAACTGTAACTGAAACAACGGCAACGAGTCCGTTACCACCGGTACTTGCATCCGCCATGTACGCCAACATCGGTGATATAGGTATTATTCCACTGTTACAAAATCTCTCCGAGCGAACAATGGGGCAGTGAACTTATATATATTCTTAATGCTTCTTCCAAGTTTATGATTCTCGATAACTACCGTGCCACTCATCTCCTACTTCCTTCTTCCTACCCACCAAGTTCATATTCAAATACAGAACAACCCCTACACAGTAACCATGGCGTCTTCTACGGTTCCCCAGATCCTACTCACCGGGCCTACTGGATTTATCGGCGGTACGATCTTGGACCACTTCATCAACTCGAAGTCTCCGGTCCTTAGTGGCGCCAATATTTCCGTACTTCTGCGGGGCGAGGACCGTGCTGCTAAGCTCACATCCACCTACGGCTCCCGCGTGAAGCCAATCCTATACAAAGACATTGACGATCTTGATGGTACGATCGCTGCAGCGGCGCAGCACGATGTCGTCATTAACACCACCCTTGGCTTCCACCCCGCCTCCATCCAGGCGATAGTCCGCGGCCTTGCCCAGCGCAAAGCGGCGACAGGGCGTGACGTGTGGTTGATTCACACATCCGGCACTTCGAACATTTGCGACACTCCGATCTCGAAGAAGTGGGTGGAGCCGGAGGGCCGCGAGTTCGACGATGCTAAGGATGATATTTACGGGTACGAGAAGGACCGCGAGGTGCGAGAGGGCCCGTACCACCAGCGTACCGCAGAGATGGGCGCCGTAGATCTGGCTTTAGAGCTGGGCGTAAAGTCGATAGTCATCAACAGCGGAACTATCTACGGTCGCGGAACCGGTCTATTCAATAAGACAAGTATTCAGGTTCCCGTATTCGTCCGCGCCGTGCTGGACCTCAAGAAGGGCATCGTGCTGGGAGATGGCAAGGGCGTATGGGACCACGTGCACGTTGAGGATCTAGCGGAACTTTACCTACTCGTCCTAGAGCGCATAATAGCGAAGGGCGGCGAGGGCGTGCCTTTCGGAAAGAAGGGTATCATCTTCAGCGGCAATGGCCGACACCAGTGGCTGGACGTGGCGCAGGGGGTAGCTGATGCGGCCTTCGCGGAGGGACTGATCCCGAGCAACAAGCTGGAGAGCCTTACGCTCAAAGAGGCAACTAAGTATCTGATGGATGGCCAGGTTCCAGAAGAAATGATCGAGAAAGCCGTCGTGAGCAACTCGCGGACTGTGTCGTCTGTGGCTAGGAGCTTGGGCTGGAAGCCAACGAGGGGAGAGGAAGCGTGGAAGCGGGGGTTCGTTGAGGAGGTCAAGGCTGAGCTGGAAAAGCGCAAATAGTGGCTGATGAAATTAAAAGGGACTTACTATTCTAGCAGCTGGGTATATACATCTAGATTAGTAGTCTGGTCCTAGCGATGCTGATAGTTTATCTTACTGAAACCGAGTTCTATTTTCACTTCGCCCTCGCATCTTTAAAATGTAGTGACTAAGTAAATAACGTAGTGCAAGAATATCGAAATATATAGTTCTACATCTAGATATACAAGTCGTTTGCCGTTTGCCTGGATCTTGTGTATATTAGCCAAGGGCAATGCCGTGTAACCAAGCCTCATAATCTCCAAGGGGTTCCTCAGCAATAGTCGGTGGATCCTTGGAATCATTCGCGCAATCGATACCAGACCTTTTATTTGGACGCCATGAATAAGTCTGACCCTCATTCCTTTCGACTGAATACCCCTGAATGGACCGGTGTGTACCCCTAAACCCCTTTTCATTTGTTACCCACCCATCCCTACAGCTGCGACATGGCCGTCGAACTTATTTACCAAGCGGCTTCCACAGATAAGTGAAAGGTTGCTGAATTAAATCATGCACCCAACCATGGCTTTACGTCTGCCTTAGAGAATATTCGGCGCTGGGACGTGGAAATTGACTATCAATTCCACCTTGATTGAAGATGATACTGATATCATGTAGCTGCTGGAGTATCCAAGCTAGTACAATATCACCGAGAGAATCTCCCTCAGAGAGCGTGCCAACATCACGATGGGTTCCAAGAAAATATACCCGCCTAAGACAGGTACGCCTATGCACGGGTACATGCATTAGTGTAGGTTGGAATGGACCACGACATTCGTGGAGAGCGAGCGCATGAAACACTTTATTGATATCTGGCATACGAATTAATATTTAATTGAAGCTGGGCATTGTTATCTCACTTGGCCCGATGTCTGTCTCTAAGAATTCATATTTCTTCATAATTGGTGAGAGAAGATGGAATAACCCGAATAAACCCGTGCGTGGAATGCCAAGAGAGCCAACTGTGTCGATAGGCATTTTATAGTGATCGGACGACCTTAGCGACGCTTCCCCGTTGCTTCGCATATAATGGAAAATCTGACCAATCTTTATATTTTCTCACAAGGCGGTCCGCAACCCCCTTTTTTGAGGAGACTTCCGGATGTTTATTTGTCATATAGGAGGAGATGCGTGTCCTCTCTCCTGTATTGGGGCAATCCCAAACACAACGAGTGATGTGAGTGTCACAGCTGTAGCCGATGGCGATGATTTCATCTTTGGGGGAATAATTGGGAACCAAGCCTTCAACCGCCTCAAGGCATGCTTCTCAATGCCGTAACCCTGTAGTCAATTAATAAACAAAGTTGTCAGAGTTAAGAGACTGACCCCTGATATCCACTATCAATCACCCCAGGCAGTGTTAAACTAGGGTAGCTTCATGAGCAAAGGGAAATAATCAAAGCTTGAATTTTCGTCATAGTTGTACCATTATATGTCTATATGTCAGGCCGCACGTAGCTTCTACAACGCCATATTACATATATACATTCCTCCTTAAAACACAGTACCATCACTTTTGATAAGGATGGGGCTTGATTTCGTGTCCGGGCGGCGTTGTGCCGCGATCTCGCGCCCTGATTTCCAAGTCCCAGCCTCAAGAACCTGTGCCAAAGTTAAGTGAATTCCATTGCCCATGTGGGACAAAATCATCTTGTACAGAATGTCAATGAGTACCAATGTCATAGCGCGCCATTCAACTATGGCATCATCGCTTGCATCGAAGAGTGGCAATTCCCCGTCAGATGCTTTCAAGCCCCGACTGAGTGTATCCTGTTTAAGGGATAGAACTCCAAAATCAACGAAAAGCCCACCATTACGATATTCAGCCAATGCCGTTAGCGATTCAGCATTGATCCATTCCATCTTTAATATCCTCTGAAACGGGACCATCAGCGAATAAGTAAGCCACTGCGTAAGCTTATGGAAAGGCTGGATGTATTCTGCACTATCAGCGGGGTCTGGGGTTGACGCCTGTTTCTGTAAAGTACTCAACGGCCACGAGTCACCGATGGGAACCCCGTCAATAGTCGTCCGATCCTTAGGCCAAATAGGAATCAAAACATTCTGAAGGACATCCCAGAAAACAAGGACGTCAAGGTTCGGGGAATTTCCAGCCGATTTCACCATATAGTCTAGATCTCATCAGCAAGGGTTGAGAATTACTAGACACGATGGCAAAAGGTATTACCAGCGAGGTGGCCTGGACGGCCTTCGGTTCCGAATATATCGGGATGAGAGAGTAGGGACTGTCCTAGGCATCTGAGAAGAGCTGCACGAGATTCAACCCCTGACATTGGGTTATCGTCGGACACTTGAAAGCCCGTGGTTAGTACATGCGTCGTTATTTCTCCCAAGCCCATTCCTAAACATAATTGAGTCAGTATATATGTAGTATTCTATGAACTTGGTGTGATTACCATCGACCATAGGGATCGTTCCGGATCTCGAGGCGGTAAAAGCTAGGGAGTTGAACATGTGAAGACTAGCTACCGCGATGCCTTCACTTCGTTCGTAAATTTGATCAGTTCCGGGCTCAGTATAACGCCATTTATCGCCTGCGCCAGCATCTAATAGCACTGAGACGAAGAACAGGTCAATTAAGCGTCGAGTGATCTCGAGGTCATCACAATTCGAGCTCTTCCAATCCTGTATCATATTTGTAATACGCGGTATCTTCCCGACCTCGAAATGCTGCCAACGCCCATGAGGGGGGATTGTATCGAATTTGTCTGGGCCAAAATCACGCTGATGAGAAGAAAGTTAGTATACGGATAGTAATTTGAAATTTAATTGAGTCGCAAACCTTGATAATGGATGTCACAAATTCCACAACATCACCCAGTCGGTCTTCGTGTAGGTTGAAATGGTTTAATCCCCCGGACTTGGCGATATTACCCACGATTTTAGCGCGTTCTCGAATAGCGCGGAGAGAGAGCAAGTACTTGACTTGTGAATCCATGCTGATAAGAGAAAGGATATTGGATAGAGACCCCGAGTGTTTCCAACCTTGCAATAGAGCCTCCAACCCCGCACTTGAGAGGTAGTGATGGACTGAATTATTGGAAGCTCTCCTCCCAAGCGGTAGAAATCCGTGTTAGGAGTCTGTAGTGTACCGTCTATCTGGGATACAAGTATAGATAGAAACTTAGTAAAATCTAGGTAGATAATCTACCCACCTTTATAAATCGGCAGCAAACAGATATTGGAGGCGGATGGATAAAGAAATAAAAGAGATCGAATTAAAATATCGCTGTTTTTGATAGGTACGGAGGTGTAGAGGGAATATATTAAAAAAACGCTAAAATTCATACGTAAACTTTTAAGGGTATAAGTTGTAAAGTTATGGTTAAATAATATTAAATAAAGTATTATAACGTTATATTAGTAAGGGTGTTAGTTTAAATTAAATTTCTTTATTTAAGTTACGTAAAAAAAAACTTTTTTTATAATAATTTTGGTGAGTTTTTTATTGATTTTTTACCTATTATAATGTTTGTATACGGTTTTGTTTTATGTTTTATAATTGATTATATATTATATTTATATTATTTAATTTTTAGAATTATAATAATATTATTTTTATATTAGAAAGTTGAAAGATGGGTATTGTAAATTTAAGGAAATAGGATAATTGGCTTGTATAAGTTTGATTAAGTGTTAATATGTATATTATAAGTTTATTAATAAGGTAAAACGTATATTATAATTGAAAAAGGTTAGTATTAAAATGAAGAAAAATGAAAAGTGGTTGTTTTAGTGCAATTTTATATATATATATATTGTTAATAATTTATTATAAGTTTTGTAAGTTTAATTTATTACTTATAATTATGCTTAACTTATTTTTACCTTTTTTGGATTGGAAATGGGAAGGGGTGGGTTTGGTAGTGCTTTAAAAACCGGTAAATAATAATGATAACTTTAAATTAACTTTATTAGTAGTAAATTGGTTTTGAAAATGCTATTATAACAATATATGCGTTTTTATTGAAAAAAATAAAATAAGTGTAAATAACGTTTAATAGTAATAAGTTAAAATTAATATTAATAAAATTATTATGCGGTTAATTAAGTTTAAAAAGCTCCGCGAAAAAGGTGCTGTAATTTAACTTAAATTCGATCTTAATTGTTAACAAAAAATATCGGCTTTTACAACTTTTTTTACGATTGAATAAAAAAACGAGGATTTGTATAAACAGTATAAAAATCGCAAATTACGCGAATCGTATTTATTATATGTTATAAGAGGCGAGGATTTGTTTAACAAAACGTATATAAATTGTTAGTTTTTTAATACGGCGTTAATATACTTATTTTATTAAAATATTAACTTTTCCAACTTTATATAATTATATTTAAGGTTAATCAGATTAGCGAAAGGGAGTAAGGGTAAAAAACGGATTTGTTCATAATCGGTAGCGGAAAAGGATAAAAAGGACAAACTTATACTTATTGCCGAATAGTTGCAAAACTGCACCATACGCTAACTTAAACGTTACCGTAAAATAATTAACGATGAGTTAAATATACGTAATTTTGAGCATATTTCTAGTAGGCAATAATAAGCCTGATTAAGTTTTTATAAGTGTTAAAAGGGGGGTTTTAAATTGATATTACTTATTAAAGGCGTTTTGGGGAAAGGTTAAATTGGATTAAAAGTTGCGATAGTTAATTTAAATTGTTGGAATTGTTTAGAATTAGTTAAAATTAGGTAGTATGAGTATATATATTTTTAAATTTAGTTAAAATTTTATTATTTAAAAATAAACATTTTTAATTAAAAATTTTTAGTTTAATTTTTTATTATATGTATATAACCTTGAATAAAGTTGTTTTAGTAATAATTTTGTTATTACGACTTTAATTACAGTTATAAATTTAAGATTTTAATATATTTTAATTACCCAAAATGCCTTACCTTTGCGTTAATCTTAACCTTTATTGTGATTAAATTATTTAAGAATATTAAGATAAAATAACTTTAAATGTCATATATTTAATATTATTTTAAAAATATAATATTAATATTATAACTTAAACTTTTTTTAATCGATTTCGATAATGGCAAATTGGTTAAAATATGATTAAAATAAAACCGTTTAATAAACTTTTAACCCGTATTTGCGAGCTTTTTTTCAAATATAATTTTAACAATAATTAATTAATTAATTAGTTTTGTAATAAGGGTTTTACTGTTTCAAAACAAGGCGTAATTATTATTTGTAAGTCGATTAATATTTTTTAACAATTTGATTTTATTTGTTTAGGATTTTGTTTATAAAAATTATAAGATTTTTTTGAAAATGAGTAATATATCGGGAACGTTATAAAAAAAATAAGTCGTTATATGTTATACGTATATGTTTATTAATAATAAATAAATATAACCGAGCATATTTTATGGAAATCTTTTTCCGAATTTTATTTTAAAGAAATTGTATAATGTTATATAAAAATATTTTAACGTTAAGGCGGCTGGACCATACCTGGGCCCAACTATATTTGGTTTATTAATGTTTATTACAAATTAAAAATATACGGAATTGAGGTTTATATAGTTATAAATGCTTATTTGCGGTATATTATTTGGTTTTACTATGGTAGCTTAGCCCATATAGTTTACTTAATATTTGCGCAATACATATACCTTATTAAACAACTTAAATATATTTCTTTTGTAATTCGATTAAACCGTGGTAATGAGTTTGGACTAATGACGGCAGCTTATTATTATTTATTTTAAAGTACATAAGCTATGCGTTATTCGCGCTTAAAACTTATAATAATAAACAACCTTAATTAAGCCAATATTGATTTAATTTTATCCGCATATGGACGATTTTTATTAGCAAACCTTCATATATTTACCGATAATATTTACGTAACCAATTAACGTGAAACATAAATTAAAGTAACCGATATTTTTGCTGGTTTTTTTCGTTTTTGCGATTGTTTGTTATATGGCAAAAATACTATTAATTAATAAATTAAAAGCTAGTAGTTTTAACTATGTAATAAATAAGCTATTTTTTAACAAGTAAATTTACTTTATTTAAGTTTTATTATATATGTTTTATATTAATTATTTTTATTTTAAGAATATTTCGGACAATTAACTCGTAAACAATATTAAATACGTAACAAATTAACTAATAAAATAACTTTGGTTTACATTTTCACTTTTATCATCCGGACCGAATTCACTTAATTTATACAAATATGGAATTTTTATTATATACGTAAACAAAACAATTGCTTTTATGTTGTTTTTGGTAAATCTTAAGTATTATATAATTTATTTAATCTTAATAAAGCTATCGATTGTCGTATCCCTTTAAATAGGAACAAATAGAAAAAACTTTATCGTTTTACTGTTTTTAACAATATCGACTTTAACGCCTATTTCCCAAATCATACAATGGTTATTTATAAAAAAATTTTGGTTAATATTGGTAATATACCCGAGAAAATAAGGCCAAACGAGAAAGATACACCTTATTTGAAGCTGTATTAACGTTTACGTAATGGATTAAAAGCATATATAGCCAAAAAAATTAAACTTAAGGTTATTAAGTTAAAACGCATTAATAGCGGTTGGGAGCATTTCGAGGTACTTATACGCAATTTTAAAATTAACTTAAATAATTTTAATAAAATATAAATAAACGATAAAGTTAATAATCGAGCTTAATTAAGTAAATAGTTAAATTATATTATTTTAGCCACGTTTTAAGCAAATTGCTAGATCTTTTAATGAATTTGTACTTACGCGTGCCTTTTTACGTGTTATCGATCTTATATTATATAAAGGAACAATAATCTGGTTTTTAGGTTACGTATTTACTTGTTTAACAAGATCTTTACTTTCTTTAAAATTAATCTTTTCTTTCTTGGTTTTGCTTTTCTGTTTTATCTTTGTGGCTTTTTAAATCTGTTGCTTAGTTAATTTAGCTTTAGTAAGTTTATTTTCATTTTTTTCGATTTTAATTGCCTTTATTTTACCTTTTACTATCTTGTTTTTACTTATTAAAACCAGGTCTTAGCTTTAGCTATTTGTACAATCCTGTTTTAGTATTGTAAAATTTGCAACAACTTTATCGGAATATAGATTTAAATAGTAGCACTTCCTTTTTCCATTTCCACTTTTAATAGCAAATTTGTCTTTGATTTTTGCAATAATATAAGGTTTATTATGATTAATGTTTAAAGTATTAACTTATTTATTGTTATTTATATTAACCGTACCAATAAATTTCCATTGCTTTTAACAAAGATTAAGCTTTATTTAAAATTTGGCCAGTAAATATTTAATTAATGTTAAGTAGTTATTATAAACAAGTATATTAATAGGTAGTTTAATAACTTATCCGACCGAAATTTTATATATTTTAATTATAGTTGTGGTAGGATTATTATGGATAAAGATTCGGTATAATTTGCTTAAATATAAATTGATTTTAATTTTGGTAATATATATTTTTGCAGGTTTACGGTTATTTGTTGCGTTGGTTTCGCGAGCCTTTTTGGATAGTTTATAGCATTTTTTAAATCCATATCTTTTATCCAAATTTGGGATTATAAACGCAAGGGTTTGGCGATTTAATTGAGTTGGAGATAATATTAAGGTAGCTTTTTTGGCTAATAGTGGTGATTTAGTAAAATTAATAACATTTTGGTAATTTAAAATTATATTAATATCGGTTTGGTATAATTTGCATTTGTTTTCTTTGGGATATGTTCGTTTGATATTTTTATGCATAAGTAGAGATTTGGCGTAATAACCTGGCGAGATTGGGAATTTTATTGTAGACGGATTAAGTAAGGTTATTTACTTTATAATGTCGGAATGTAATTATGCATAAGTGTAAGTAAGGGAAATGAAAGATTTTTATAGTTATAAAAGTATTAATATATTTTATAATTGCAATTATAAAGGCTGAAAATTTTTTTAGTATTTAATAATTATATATTATTATTAAATAACTATATATATATTAATAAAAATTTAAATAGGGTGAGTGTATTAATAAAATTTGGGTTTTTTTAATATGTTTTTTTTATATTTCCGTAAATAGGTATGATATGTTATGTTATTTTCTAAATACGTAGCCCCATAAATTACTGTTAAAGTTTTATAGCTATTGGTATAACTTTATACAAATTCTGATTGGCTATCTGGATAATGATAATGATGATAACGTTAACGTCTATTGGTTTGCTATGGCTAGGTAGCTACATCGAGCGCATTTATGGCGCTTTAAACGTCTAGAGTACCTTTTTCGAGGGAGACAAAGCTAGAGTTTCGCCTGATATAAGAGATCCTCCACTTCCTATCCCCAGCCTTTACTTGCCTAGTTATAGCATTACTCTACCTGGTTAGCGCCGGCGCCAGGTAGCCGACTTTAATTAGGGAAAAAAACCGTCGAACACGCCTTCTTATAACGGAGATGGAACCACCCTCGAGATTAATGTAGAGGACCGCTTAGTCGCTAGGCTTAGGTCGCGTTACTAATAGCTCGTTTCGAACGTGCTGCGTGTATGGCGGTCGAGTGCCCCCCGCCTTCAGGGACTAAGAAGAAGCGCGAAACATGGAAAGGATGCAACTGGAAGCGGAGGGGCGAGATCGTTTTATAAGGGTTGTCGCGGCTGGATCTGAAATAATCGCCACTATCTCGAGAGTATAAACTTTGATGCTTAAAGGGTATGATGACCAAACCCAAGCTTGGAAAATAAGTTCTTACTTTGACATCAAACAAATTCAAGATGGTAATGTGAATCTGTTAAAATAGTATTAATTGACAACCCATATTTATTAAAGTCTTGTTTCCATGTGCTGATGAACTCCGTGTAATGAGACTCCGTAGTGATTATGTCAATGGCCGGAATGATTCCGGCCACGGCCGGTTTTTACCGGGCTTGGTGGTTCCACTTTTCCCTATCACCTGCCGGGGATAAAGTTAGGCTTCATCTTGCTAATGATTTTCAATTACGTAACCCTTATCAGCATGTGTGACCTCTTCTTTGTTGGGTAAAATGTCTCCTTGACTAGTAGGCAATTACCCTTCCATTATAATGGGTGCTAATTAACACCTAAGGATTAGTTAGAAGAGAGAATAGCTTGTGCGATGCTAGATTAAGAAATCATATTTGCTATCCAGGATTATAGAGCCTCACGTCAAAGCCTGTTATTATCATACAATGAACAATTTTGAACTTGATAAAAGTGCTAGGCAGGTAGGGGAGAGAGTTGTCTGTTAGCCGAGGGAATAAGTCTGAGTTCTTGCGCTCGAGCTTGTATCGTCCGAGTATAAGCTAAGAGTTAATGGGAATCTTGTATGTCACACGGCATGTACGTTCATAGCTGATAAGGATTGTTGTGCGGTGGAACCCGACTTCGGTCTGGGCGTATTGGCCGGAACTCTTCCGGCCATGAGGTAAATGTAAGGAGAATGAATGAGTTTGCTATAGAATCCGGTTTCGCTCGAGGCCGGAATCGTTCCGGCCAGGGAGGTGTGAGAAGGTTCCGGAGGTCCTGGAACTTACTTGATCGTCAACTCCGCATTTTTACGTTGAGGCCGGAACAGTTCCGGCCACGGTCTATATTAGCACGCGAAATCGACCGCCACTCCGGTCAAAGGTCTAATTTCTCATACCTCAAGATTTCCCCTGAACCCAAAACTTTTATATATTATTTCAATCATCAAAGTCCACGCTCTTCGAGAATTACAATATGTTCATCCCGAAGTCATCCTTTGAGGTCTTGGAAGACACCAGGCCACATGATGTCTCACTTCCTGCCTTTATGGTCTCAACGACTCGGGGTTTTCTGGCACGTATGGACCCTCTCGTCACTCTCCCCCCTGAGTTTGAACCGGTCGAGACTATGCTTCAAGCAATGCCTGTCCAGAACCAGTCAGGCAAGCCTGGGCTGCTTGCTACTGGCCAGCTGGGTGATGCCGTACTTAAAGACCTTCCAGACCTGACCGAACAGATCGAAAAATACCATGATAACCTTCCCATGATGAATGCCCTTTATCGTGACTACTCATTCTTAGCTTCGGCGTTTCTTCTAGAGCCATGCCATATGAGGTTCACCAAGGGCGAGCCATATGGGCTAGGGAGATCTTTCCTTCCGGCTCAGCTGTCTCGACCTATTGTTCGCTGTGCTGAGTTGTAAGTCACCGTAGTCTTCGTCACATTATTTCGTGCGTTAACTAATTCCCCATAGAGCTGGATTCAAACCATTCATGGAGTACGCGGGTTCATATGCCCTTTTTAACTATCGCCTTCAGAATCCAGACGTGGGTCTTGAGTACTCTAACTTGCGCCTGATACGGGCCTTTGAGCACGGTTTGGATCCTACCTCCTCCGAGGCTGGCTTCGTACTGGTGCATATTGACATGGTAAAGAACTCGGGCCCCTTAGTTAGCGGCACGATGTCATGCCTAAGAGCGCTCCATAATGCTGATGGGGTTTCAGCCCTACAGCAGAGGAAGTCCTTTAATAAAGGTCTGCGCACCGTCGTAGATGCGATGAGAAAAGTCAATGGCGTAATGGAAACCATGTGGATGAAATCTAAGCCGCGGTCGTATACGAGCTTTCGTACTTTCATATTCGGCATCACATCTCAGTCCATGTTTCCTGACGGTGTTGTCTACGAGGACGTCAATGATGGCAAGCCCTTAAGCTTTAGGGGCGAGAGTGGCGCAAACGACACTATGATCCCATTGATGGATAACCTTCGTATGTATCATCAAAAATACTTCTTCATCCCCAACATTCCTTGTCGGACTAGCTTGGGAGCTATGGCCCCTAAGACACGTCCGAACTCCTTCAGATACTTTAAATAATAGCATTTATTAACCCATAATTATAGTTCAGATCGACATGCCCGATACTCCTCTCACTGAGATCTTAAAGGATTTCAGAGACTACCGACCGAGTAACCACCGCCAGTTTCTTGCTGAGGTGAAGAGGTGCTCAGAAGAACTACACGCGAAAGACTTTGCTTTAGCTATTGGTACCGAACACAACTCAGCAATAGGAAATGAAGACCTAGAACTAGTAAAAGAGTCTCGACGCCTTTGGCTCCACGCTCTGAACCAGGTTCGAGACTTCAGGTGGCGGCACTGGTGTTTCGCCCGGGAGTATATTCTCAAGCAGACCTCGCATCCCACAGCCACGGGAGGTAGCCCAATCGTAACTTGGCTCCCGAATCAACTGCAAGCTGTCATGGAGGAGATGACAGAGATTGCCAACAGTGTCGGCGCGCGAAGTGGATCTATGGAACTTGGGCCAGAACATCAGGACATTATGGACCTTGTTGAGCGACAGAACCAAAGCTTGCAGAAGGAAGTAGAGAAATACTGTAGAGAACGTGGCGTGACTACTCATTGTAAATAAGTCGTGGAGACCCTATTCCTCTGTAGGGGTTAGGATAGATGATGTACTTAATCCCCCAAAAGAGCTCTACCCAGCTTTTTATGGTGTTGCGAAGATATGGCTCATACATCACGGGAAGCTTGTGTTCGTTCCAAAGTATAATTCCAAGGAAATTTATGGCCTTGCTCACACGGACACGGCGCCTCGGCCTAGATCAGAGCTTTCTAGAAAGCGACGAGATTGACAAGATACTCATTAACGTCAGACTTGTAAGAAACGGACCTGTAGTGCCCTTGTTTGTTCACGAATACAAGAATCTAGCCTACTTGGAAACCCTGATTATATGTGAGCTACCGATATTCCCGATTGCTAAAGCACGATATAGCTATTTCGTTAACAAGATAGGCCGATATCTTGTCCAGGACTTCTTTGTTGGGGGTGAAACGGTGGTGTATCAGGTAAGCTGTATCGCGTGTCTGCAATAATAGATACTGACAACAGTGAGTTGTACGATATGTCCGGGTACGAGATACCGTATAGGGGTAATAATCAGAACGGAATAATAATGACTGCCTCTTGCTCTTCGGTGGTTTAAAGGCGAAAACTACGACTGTAATAATTGGCTTAGGTTTAATAGGGGTTAGTTTTTTTTTCCGGTTCTGTCTTTTGAGTTTCCAAGTTTATTGCAATAAAATAAATTCTATGACATTTCAATTTTATCTTTGAACAGCTTCCTCCCGTCACTACCTCCTATGTTTGAACCTTGCATCATACCAATCTACACACCTAGCTTCATTATACAGTCCATTTCTCATAATCTGGGAAATACCGGTCGTGAATGCGTCCCGCGTAGTCAAGGAGGACGGGGAAGCTTTTGATCGTGTCATGAGATTTGGGTCCGCTGTAGTGAAGTATCATAATTAGTATATGCTCGAACTAGGAGATAAGTCACTGTTCACTCACGCAGTACATATCCAAGCAGATACAATAAAGCCAAACAGACACGCATCCGCCTCTGTCGGTTCTTCTCCGCCCAGTACCCAAAACGGCTCTTCGTTGCCGCCTTTACTACTGGATCGCGACGTCACAACTATACCATAAAGATTAGTGCCTTTATTTCTTAATTAGGCGTGAAAGAGGGGTTAAATTGGCTGTTGAACCGGAGTTGAGAGTTCCAGCACTCCTCGGCCACATCCCAACAAAATCAATGGGATGATAAGAAGTTCTAAAAAGTTACTCACGTTGCGCACTAATTGCTTCCCAGATCTCATACATGGACTGCTCGATTTCCTCCTTGGTAAACCGACCAGTACCTTGACCATTCAACATCGTGGCGTTGGCGCGGTAAGCTAATAAACCCACGACGATGCGGATCGGGTATGGGATCGGCCATAGAACATGGTCTCTCATGGTGTAGTAATTCTGGATCCAACGCTCCCAAGTCTATCGAACAGTCAGTAAATCATATATCTTATATGAGTCATACGAAAGATAAGATGAAAAGAAACTTACTTGGTAGAAGGATAACTTATTCTCCAGTAGAGCTACCAGCGCCATGTCTTGTAACCTCTTCGACGGATCCAGCGCTCTGTCTAGATCTGGAAGGACACCCCACTCAGTCAGGGTCTTGATGATAAGGGTAGAGTCGCCCAGTTGTACTTTTGGCTGGGAGCCTTCCCCCTTTCCGGACGAAGAGGTAGTAGATAGATCGCGGCATTCTATGTATGGTACCTTGCCCCTAGGCGCCGTTTTAAGTGAACCTACTCCTATCTCATACCGCACGCTCGCAAAGCGCAATCGCGCTTCTAATTTGTTTACGTACGGGGACCATACATGATTTCTGGTGTCTCTAAATCCACGGAAGATGGTTATGTTCGGGTTTACATTGACGCTCTGGGTAACCATGGTGACGAAATGAGATAAGTATCAGGTAATTGACTGAAGTAGAATTGCTGACTCCGGCGTAGTTTAATATGGATATAGAATATGTTAATGGTATACCGATGGATTTTTCAATAGTAGTGGTAACGTTGATTTTAAGAATAGTGTCTATTGATTATGATGAAGAAAAGGGATATCGAGTAATATTAATATTCCAAGCCCCGTAGGATAATCAGCTGAAATAAATACTGGCAGCTCTAGGTGGCATTCGCGAAGTTCGTCACTTCGACTGTAGCGAGCGTGCGGCGCAGATGCTGTATATTTAAAGACTCCATCGAAAATTACACGATATTCTCCGTTTTCAAGAATTATAAATGAACTAACACGTACTTCGCAAAGGCGAATCACTGCAGAAAAGACACTATTGACTAACTTGAAAAGCTGATCCGCATTCATTAGTCAGAGGCGGGCTAACTCGCACATTTCGGACAAGGTCATGATGCCGGCACGGGAGAAGGTTATGCGTGTTGGGATTCTCCAAATTAAATAGGATATTTTCTATCTTTGGCGCGAGACTGCACGCACCCTTACTAGCGTATTACGGGGCCTCCACGTTGTCTTGGCGTTTTCGTTTTTAATCATGCTGTTATGTACCTAAGGAGAGGCGAATCGAAATATCGACAACGGAGCTAAGCGGTTTTAAATGAACAAATTGGCCAATAGTATGCCATAACTTCCCTTGACTAGTGGGTCAACGGCTATAAGCGCTTCGGCATTTTCCTCTGATATCCGAACAATCCGGACCTAAGACATTTACGCTTCTAATTAGGAACAACATCTACAATCTTGCACTACATTATGCGATTTACTTATGTACGTGCCCTTTTACGGAGATCACGTTGATCATACGGCCGAAATATTACAGTTGCCATGCTATCAGAGCGACGACAACGCCGACGTCGAAGGCCGGCCTTATCTTGCCTCGAGTGCCGGCGCCGCAAGATCAAGTGTAACCGGAACGAGCCATGTGCACATTGTATCTCTGCCAAGTTAAAATGCATCTATAGGGTCTATAGCGATGAACCTGTTAGCCAACTACCGCTGAGGCCCGGTATCTCGCCGGCAGGGACGTCAAGCCCGTCAAGCCCGTCAAGCCATGTACCTTCACCCTCAGTAACCCAGACTCAGGAGCTTGGCACCAATAGGCCAATTACGGAACATGATACCAACCGCTCCGGTCCTCAGGTAACACCATTACCGGCAGGAACTGCAACAAGATCGTCGTCCATAAGAGGACAGAACGATAGACCAGGGACGATTGTTCTCGGCCTTGACCCTAGCAACCTTCAACCACATATATCCGCCCCGGAAGCTGAACCAGGTCTCGTAGGTATCCTTCAACGGGGACAGAACACTCCTGCCAAGTCTTCGGTATCTAGTCCCATGAATGGGCTATCTGAAAATGGCCGGGATATACTTGCGCGCCAGCTAGGACTGCAGGACTCCCAAATAATTTTTAATAAAACAAGAATCTTAGGCTGGAGTCTTAGGATAGGTACAGCCACGGAGGTAGAAAACACATTTCTTTCATCTATATGGCATCTTACTAACCACATCACAAGTTTGCACCTCTAATTGCCTGCTATGTTGCAGCTGCCAACACTGCCAAGGGGACCTTGCCTCAAGACACTGAAAAGGGGGCCCTCTATGCCCAGATATGGACTCTTCTCCAGAAATGTAAAAACATAGCAAGAAGTATCAAGCTGGGAAGGCCTAGCAGATGGCTCTCATACCCCGATTTTGATCTTGTACCTCCCGAGAGGGAGGTAGCGGATGCTATGGCAACTTCATATTTCCAATCATTCGAATCGACGTATAGAATAATACATGCCCCTACTTTTTGGTCCGAATATCGGAGACTTTGGGACTGTCCAGAAAGCGTCACGACCAGCTTACGCCTTAAGACCCTCCTTGTAATTGGGATAGGGTCGAGCCTATCTAACCATATAGACAGTGATCCCGGGTTCCGTAATATAGTTCCCCAATGGGTATATGCCGCCCAGACATGGCTCTCCGGGCCACTAGAAAAAGATCGTTTGGATATTACTGGAATCCAAATTTACTGCTTAACTATTCTAGCACGACAGATATTTTCAATTGGCGGCGATCTGGTCTGGGTGTCATCGGGATCACTTATGCATATGGCAATGCAAATAGGCTTACACCGCGACCCCAAGCATCTCCCAGGAATGCCCATCCTACAAGCCGAACTCCGCAGGAGACTATGGGCCACCATACTTGAGATAGCTGTACAATCATCTTTAGACTCTGCAATGCCTCCTAGAATCTCTTTTGATGACTTTGACACCGAAGCGCCGTCAAATAGCAACGATGATGAGATAGATGAGACGACTACGACACTCCAGTCACACCCAAGGAACATCTATACCTCAACATCACTACAACTTATCTTACTTGACTTAGTACCAATACGTCTTCGAATTCTACAGCTTCTAAACGGCTTGCATTCCGAACTTGCTTACATGGATGCTCTTGCTTTAAGCTCAGAGCTTACCGACAAATATCGCTCGTATAGTAGCTTCATGAGAGATAATGAGAGGGCAGGTGTGACATCATTCCATCGAAATCTACTTGACCACCTGGTGCGGAGATTCTTAATCCCCCTTCATTGCCCATTCGCCGGTGAGGCGCGAGCGAATCCCCTATTTTACTACTCGCTCAAGGTTACGCTAGACTCAGCTATGACCCTTATTTCCCCTGAGCCCGACGAGGGGTTTTCTCGTCTTATGGCTATTGGTGGGGGTATGTTTAGAGAGGGATTCAGGTACGCAATGACTGTCATTACTCGCGAGCTTGTCTCCCAAGTTGAGGCACGACGTACCGACGGGATACACCGACGTAATTCTCAGGATGTTGAAAATCTGAAGAAAGCCGTAAAAGATATGATCTTGTTATCATTAGAACGGGTTCGGCAAGGCGAGACCAACGTTAAGGGGCCCATGTTCCTCAGCATGATCATGGCTCAGGTGGAAGCCACAGAGGAAGGAGTTCCGTGCGACCTCAGGATTGCACAGAGTGGAAAAGACAGTCTTGAACTATGCGTTAGTTTGCTGGAGGAACAAGCGGGTAGCACTCCTTCGCCGCGTCCTAGTAATGTTGGCTTGACGCCAAACAGTCTGGACGGTGGGTATGGGATGGATTTCGATTTCGATTTGGAGTTTCTGATGACTGATTCGGGCTTTGCTTGATACTTTGACTTACCTACATGTATATCGTATAACTACCTTTTTGTAGCATCGTTATGCCATGGCGTACTTGCCTCTCTAACACGCCTCTAGCCTTTCTTGAATTTAGCCCGTTCAGATTCCTTCTTCCCTTCTTCCGTATGCGATTGAGTAAGAAGAGGCCTATGTAGTAACATGCTTGTACTTTATATAAACTAATATTGGCTTATAATAGTGTCCACATGTAAAATCAAGGAAGAAACGAGCCCAATAACGACTCATGCTGTGTCAGTGTACACAGTAGGAAACACGAGGCACGAGGGAGAATAAATTCCGACGCTGGGTTGGTACGAATGCGACCAGTCTCTGCATAATTTATACTTAATACGACTTTCCCGCGGTCTCTTACAGCCGGTCTAGTTATATGTTCGTCGGTGTGCTACGTTCGCTCGGCCGAGACAGGAGATGACGGAGATAACCGGCCGCCACGGCAGCAAAGTACTGCGAGAATTAAGAGGCAGCATTCGAAATATTTAACACGATGCGCTTGCATCCGATGGTTCCTACTAAAGTATAAGTCCGCGATACTTTGAATTCGAAACTAGACATCTTGTATATATAGCATTTCTTCGCCATCCGCGCAACCACTTCACGAAATACCTACCGAGATCATGGCAAGAATGAAGGTCTTAATTAACGGCGGAGGTATCGCCGGTGGCGCCCTCGCTTTCTGGCTCTCGAAGATCGGCCATGAAGTTACGGTTCTCGAATGGTTTCCCACACTGCGAACTACCGGGCTTCAATTAGATCTACGAGGTCACGGGATCGAAGTCATGAAGCGCATGGGTCTCGAGAAGGATTTCCGGACAAGGATGGCTCCAGAACAAGGCTTACAGATAGTCAACCACGCGGGTAAACGGCGAGCCCTCTTCCCGGCGAATAAGTCCGGCAAAGGACTGCAGAGCTTCACGACCGACTATGAGATCATGAGAGGCGATCTATGTCGCCTCTTATACGACCACTCTAAGGATCGGACCAAGTATGTATTTGGGACATCGGTGGAAAGCTTTGAGCAGAATGACGATGGGGTGGAAGTTAAGCTTACGGATGGCAAGAAAGATCGGTTTGACCTGCTTGTCGGCGCGGATGGACAGAATTCACGAACACGTAGGATGATGCTCGGGTCCGACTCGGAGGGACTCTACCCGCTCCGCGGAATCTACGTAGCGTACTTCACGATGGACAAGCCGATTAAAGAAGGAGAAGGATATCTCGCGACAGCATACGCCGCCACCGGAAGACGAGCTATCATGACCAGAAGACATAGCCCGGATAAAATCCAGGTATATCTCACCTGCAAGAGCGATTCCGAACGATTGAAGAATGCCCCCCGGGGAGACGTCAAGGAAGAAAAGGAGGCGATGGCGGAGATCTTCAAAGACGCAGGGTGGGAGGCCGAGGAACTCGTACAGGATATGAAGGAATCCGAAGACTTTTACCTTGAACATATGGGCCTCGTCAAGCTAGACTCCTGGTCCCGCGGGCGCGTAGCCCTCGTCGGGGACGCCGCGTACTGCCCCACTGCGAATACGGGGATGGGAACTACATCCGCTATCGTAGGCGCATACGTACTTGCTGGAGAAATCGGTAGGCACTGCAAGAACAGCGCCGGTGAGCTAGACAATAATAAGGACGGCATCATGGCTGCGCTCAAGGCCTACGATGAGACGTTCCGCCCTTTCATGGAGCAGGTGCAGAAGGACATTGGTGACGGCAAGGGTATTGCGGGCGACATGATGCCGACGACGCCGTTTGGGATCGGCGTTATGAATTTCGTCGCGGGGGTTGCGGCTTTCTTCAGGTTGAATATCATCGCGCAGGCGTTTCTGAAGGAAGGGGTTAAGTGGGATCTCCCGGAGTATGAGGAGATTCTGCGGAAGTGAAAAGGGGGTTTTGGTAAGTCGTGAGTTTGGAAATTGATACAACCAAATAACTGAATATCAAATATTTGGAATATATTCAATAAACTACCTATCCATTAGATATGAGTACGACTTTGGAAATAAGTGGTATTCATAGTACTGGTAAATGGTCGTCATTGTCAATTGTCGTTCACCAGAAGGCTTTTTACTTGACAAGCAATACTTTTAATGAATTTAGACATATTTCAATATAATTTTCACCTCATTATTTCGATACTTGACTTTCGAGAGTTTGATATTGACGCTATTATTCCCAGTTGCTGTTGATGACATCGACAATAACACCATGATCCTCGTGCTGCTTCAGCCCGGAAACCACGACAACTGCAACGATACCCTCGACTCCCTTGACTCGAACTGTAGCGTCAAAGGTTAATATTTTATTTCAAGTAAATTAATAAGACAGGAATGGATGTTCACTTACTGGGTACTCCTCCGCCATGAATCGCATATTTCTCCGCCTGCTCGGGGCTCATCCCAAACTTAACCCGGAAAGCCTCCTCATCGCCCGCATACTTGCAGTGCTGGAACCAAGTGCTCGCGCCAAATCTTAGCACGGTATTCCTCTTCCTCTGCACCCAAATCTCATTGTCCAGCGCGGTACCGGAACCAACGGCGCTCTGGAACAGCACCTGGCCGTTGGCTAGCGCGATGGAGATCAACGTGGGTTTCTGGGCAGAGAATGGGAGTAGCCGCGCATAGAGCAGATGCCCGAGCTCCCAGGCGTCTTCTGCGGTGAATGACTCGAGGAGGAAAGAGTCGCAGGTGGCTTTTACTGCTTCTGCCTACGGGGTATGTTAGTGAAGAAACTAACTTGCCGAGAAGCTTGTAGGTTTGAACTTACGTCCTCGGGTGGGCTAGGAATTGGGGATGCCGAGGCGGCCTTTTCCTGAGCTGAAAGGACTGCTCGGAGTCCACTACCGGCAGTTTGGTCGCGGCGACGGAGGACTTTGGACGACATGATATACTAAGATTAATCGTAGGGTAAATATTTCGCTAGCAAGGACCTTTATGGAAAGCTATCTGGGTATCAATGTTGAATCATGAATACCTACCTTATATACCTAATCGATTTGATTTATAGATTAAACTGGAGTATTACGCTAAAGATAGTGCGAGAAGATGATCTTTACATAGAATGGAGTTACTCCGCCTTTAGCTTAGCTGGAGCCGTCATTGGTCGTATTGGAGATGACGCTCTGAATTTATTACTACATATGTAAAAACGTAGCGCCTTTTCGGTCCGATACTAGCCAATCAAGGTGAAAATAAAGCTTTCTATGTCCTAAAGGGGCAATATTAACAGTCCTTGCTTATGATTGGTCTCCTATAGACATTTCAGAACTTGTCAGGTTTTCTCTATTGCTAACATTATATCCAGCATCTTAAGGACGCGACGAGAGAATAATACCTGCGTGGATATGCTGCCCGATGTTCCGATCCCAAGCGGGGGCTTTTCTTGAAGCTCCTACATGAATAGCGGCGGAGTTTCCAAAAGTAGTAAACTCTAGGAGACCAAAGGGGTAGGGGTATTTCTCAAGAGAAGAGATTCAAGTAAATTGGTAAAGCGACCATATCGAGCAATATATAAGGAGAATTCCTGGCATTAAGGCTAGGTAGTTTATCATATTTCATTATCGGGCTTCGAGGATTCTGTACTCCCCTAGCGGCTCCGCGTCAGGTTCCCGTCTCGATCCCGACCCGGGGCCGTTATTAGACTAACCCCAGAACGAGGGCTTACACCCTTACTATTACCCATAAAACATATATATGCATCTACCAAAGAGTTCCTCGCTCCTTAATGCATAACTTTGAGCTGCAAAAGATCCCTGTGGTATTTGATTTTTTGAGTCTACGAAGTACATCACCGAGGAATAGGGGCAGCTTTCATGATTGGCATTACGCGAGCTCTGTCAGAGTTGCTCACCGGAGGTTGGCCTGAATGCACACGTATATGCGGCCTTTGATCCCGACGTTACAGGTAATTACCACCTTTGTAATTTAAAATATAAAATACTTGGCTAATGGTAGAAGCTCACAATGGTGCTTATCTTGTAAGCTGTCGGGTGGCTGACCCCTGGGTTGACACAGTGAGACCTTGGGCAACTAGATCAATCGAAGCTGAAAGGTTATGGAGACTAAGCGAGAGCCTCGTCGGCCAAGAGTTTCCGTACTAGCATGTCACTTAAATGGAATGCTACGGCATTAGGCAGTGTGACATAGTAAAGTTGTGAGGAGGCGTGCAGAAGTCTGGGCGGATCCAGTCACTTGCATCGACATTTTGCTATTAGCCAATCATATAGTAGTTTTTGCGCCTTGTTCTATTCTACACCATTAGGACATTGGGGGGGGTGGGGCTGGAGAGATTCGAGGACGACGATGAAGATTATGAGCAACCAGTTTGGCATATACCAACGGTTTCCGTTTTTCCTGGCTTCCTCGCCTTTCTTTCTCTCGTTACCTTAGGTAGCTTTCATAGCTTTAACTAAACTTTCAATTAAAGACTCTTATTCGTGCGATATGTACCTACCTACACATAACAGCCCTTGACAGCCGCCCTTGCGTGTACGGTTGACCAGACAAGGTACTGTGCCAAAATGAAAAAAATCCGTGAGCTTAGCTTAAAAGGGTAGTCAGCCACAGGTTAGCGCAATTAGCTCGAATTATTACGGTACTTCGCACTTTTGTATGGGAAAAAAGGATTATCTTTTCTAAATACATACATTATAACGTTATATATAATATGCCTTAAAAAGGTATGCTTATTTTAATCTCTACTTATACATTCAAATAACTTTACAATCACAGCAATTACAACATTATAATTGGTATCATTTTATAGCCTCAATTGAAGCGAAAATAATTATCCAGGTTGCATGCTTATACGATGTATTGTTGTTAAAATATTTAAAGTCTTTTAAAAACAGTCGTCTCAAAGGGTATCACGTGTACGTACGGATTACAGGTCTCTGGGATGATAGGTACTTAGGTACGGGGCGGCCTCTTACTCTTTTTAAGATGCGCGCCCTTCTATTGGCTAAATTTTACACCGCCTGTTTGGCAATATCCTTATCCTTATCCTTATCCTTATCCTTACACCACATCTCTGTTACAGCTTCATGTTCAATTCAATTCAATTTAAATGACGATGCAATGGCTATCTAT